TCAAATTTTAAATCACTTCCACTTAGACAAATATGTTAGCTCAACCTTTGCCCATGAAATCCCTTCTAAGCTGAGGAATAATGTGGCAAAGGAAGGTGCATCATTTGTATGGCTTTTGAGAGATGGCAGCAGAGCCTATGGCATGTGATGACCATCTAAAGACACTACATCTCTAAAAGAAGATCCAGCATGTTACAATCTAGCAAGATCCTGTATATGTGGGAAAAAAAAGGAAATTAATGATCAAATTTCATTCAAAAGATTAGGTTCCAGGATATGATAAAGTGAATCGTGCATGGTGACTGCAATCCCCATACTAGTCCATAAGTATCATCAAATCTGGTTTCACAATTTAAATAGATTAAGTCAATTCTAAGCATACATTTAGACCAAGTCTGTACTCAGTGCACTACCTCAGAAATTAAAGGCAGAAAGTACAGCTCGTCCATGACATTCCTTACTTTCAGAATTTTTTCTGCACCTATCTCTGATTTTCAAACTCAACTATCCACCAGGATTCATGACAATTAAGCAATTTTCTAAGAAGTTGGAATCATTACATCCTACATACATATTTTGGACAGAATTGTTGGTTTATTTTCATTCAGAGGGTAATTACGAAGTTTCATGTAATACTGAACTTTGGGAGTACAGGGGAAAAAAGAATCCATGTTCTATCCAGAAACATGAACAATTTAATCAGGACTGTGAAGGGCTTACTTCACGAACTGGGCAAAACAACCAAAGATAAAACAGGAAAGTCTACACTATTCACTGTACTTCAACTACACTTTTATTACTTCTCTGTTTAAACTCAGTATTCGTCAACTGGGATGTCACTTGCTCAAAGACAGCTAGAAGAGCACTAGTTTGCACAGCTTCTTAGCTATAGCTGGGCAGTGACTAAACCGTATAGTATCTAGCCTAGAAGAGGGATTGGATAGTGAGCTAGGACCCCATGAAACTGTACAGCATGAGAGTTGGTTGTCATATATAAAAGTTTACAGGGTAGTGTCTTATATACCTTTTAAAATAGTATACACTATGTCATTCACTTTACCATTATATGGCCAAATACATGCAGTCGCATGATAATACTATAGGTCCCCTCCGTACTTGGAGGGCCTGTCTGGTCAATATGACAGAACACCACATTTGCAGGGATCCATATACTCAGCACCTACTTACATATAGACACTATACACTTGCTTGTATATGCACTATATATACTATAATGCGGTCTGACATTCCCTGTTACATAGCAGATATGAACATGTGATGGCGCATATGTCATGATTTCTGTAATGTGGCTTTTATATAATGGCAACAAGGTGAGGTTGATGACTTAGGCATGGACAGGCTCCATCTGAACTGAAACTGGTTAGGAAAGTGCTCTTACTAATAAAGGCATTAAAAGTCCATAGAAGACAACTCATAGATGGCAACTAATATGCTCAAAAATACTGCAGGATTCCATTTTTCTGTCTTCTTTTCATAAAGACAGTAGTGTAACAACATGAATGAAGATACAAGGACCTTGAACAAGTAGTAAATCAACACTGATAAGCCAACAGAGAACAAAATATTATTTATATCTGCTCTTAAAAAAAAATAGAAAAAAAGAAATAGCAGAATTACCACAGACAGCAGCTGAGTCCCAACTAGTGATAATTGCTTCTCATATACAGAGATTAGCTTTTTGAATTCCAGAACTGACAATAACAACATTTAGAGTAAAATAAGTAAATAAATAAGAAATGGATCTCTTTTGAGCCATAAAGCTACAAAGCTCACAAACAGAACAATGAATTACCAGTAAGTTTTTCAAATCACATTTATGGAAAAATGGGAAAGCAAATGAGTCATTAAACTACTAAACCATTCAGATGATGAGGGAACCGCGAGTATCATATCAAGTACCATGGAAAGAGGAGGAAAGCAATGCATTTATTTCAGAGCTTAGTATTTACCTCGTCAAATAAGGAGAGGGGAAAGGAAAAAACAAAACAAAACCCCTAAAACTTCAAGCAGGTGAAAGTGCAAAAACCTTTGGATTCCCTGAAATTGGAGAACTTCTGCAGAATTAGTCACCTAAACTCAAACTCCCAAAATCAGACACCACAATCTTTGCTATCTGCTATTCTGAACTGAGAAAGCTAACAGAGGGCTGTAAGCTATATAGAAAGTTCACACAATCTCTTTCAGATACAAATTATCAAAGTGTTAGTGACTTTGTAGTTTCTTTTTAGTTTCTTTCTCTGCCAAAGTAGACTTTTCATAATTGCAGCTCATATTGTAGGTCTTAGGGTTCCTTAAAATTATATCTGCACTTCTGGCATGTGCCATTATGTAAGATGCACACTACCAGAAGACATACGTGGTCAGCTTGTTCAAAAGCACCAGACCAAGTTTTAAATTAAATACTGAAGACATATGGAACCCTTTCAGTATGCATGAGTTCATGTATTGCAGAGTTGAAGTTTTAAGATGTAATTTTGGCCCTATCCTCTGACAAGACTTTCCAAGGGAGGGGGGGAGGAATCTTCTCAGATATTTTTATATTGGAAAATAAAAAGATTTGCTTTACCTATGTAAGCAAACACATTTCTGCTAAAATCCTTAAATACAATAACAGAACAAAAGGGCTATATAAATTGCGTTATTTTTCGATTTGAGTTTTGTTGGCCTACCTCCCTCAAGTTGATTAGAGGGTACCCAGACTCAATACAAAAATTTCATTTTACATAAAAGTTTGCTGCATGGTGTTAAGAATGTTTTCACTAGAAAGCCACATGCTGCTCTTCAAAGGAATGAAAGAGTAAAACCTGAGAGAGACTAGTTATGCTTCCCTAAAAGTCAAACAGTGATAAAATGCCTTTAAGTTAAGGGGGAAAAAAATGGAGATTAGGTTCAGGACTATGGTTTGCTAAAGTATTTTAACATTTTATTTTAAAGAAGTTGCAAAAAGCAAAACAAAACGAACAAACAACACACAGCCCTTCCAAAATCTCAAGTCTTGAAAACTGCAATCCAAGCAAGAAGCCTGGGGCCAGCCCCTAGCAGAGCTCAGCAGCACAGTGGACAGCTCTGGCTGTGACCTACCCGGAGACCTTGGTGGCTGACATGCCTGGGCAGCTTTCCATGCATCACACCAGTCTGAATAACTCTTGTCATTCAGTTTGCCACTGACACACATGCATGCCAAAGCAGGGATAAACTGTAGAAAACAGTAGAAAGGTCTACAAAGGATAAAAGGAAACCAAGCTCTGACAGGAGAAGAGAAGTTGGACAATGGTCACAATAGACACCTCAACTGCCCACTGGTATCTGCCCTTCAGGGCAGTTGCTCTTGTCACCAGCTCTGTCATTCTTTTGTTATCAGCAGGCAGGATGTCCTATTTCTTGTAGGGCATCACAGATAGTTAAAGGATTGTCCAAGATGCCATTCTCAGCTATCTGCTATCAGCTGAGAACTGGTTCCTTGTTACTTTTTATTCATCATCATCACTGAATTCCTTCTTACAGATACTTACTGCCCTTCCTGATAACGTGAAGCTGTTTATAGGAAGTCAGAAACAGCCAAGTACCTGTTAGGAAGCAGTCTCAGCAGCCTTGCTGTATGACCTCACCTCAGCTGTTAACAAGCTAAACCCCTTACCCTTTCTTAGTAAAAAGCTTAAGTGCCTCAGCTTCCACTGAACCTGCCTTAAGCTGCCAAACGGGAATAGTAATACTCAGCACTTGCATAACCCTAGTTACAAGCAAGGACTGATTTAAATCTCCCTAAAGAAATAGCCATGAACAAACTTCCTTTACACAGAAGCAAGGCAGAAAGAAGGACTACACTTTCCAAAATGCAAATGACATCAAGAGGCAATAGACAGCTTATAGATAGATAATAGACAAGCGAGTGAACCAATGGGCAAAAGCCTGTCCCAAAGTGGTCTGTATAGAGTCGTGCACACCGTCAAGACTCCAGAACAAAACTCAGACTTTAAAGGCCTCCAGTCTCATGTTCAAACACCTTGTGGCCTCCTCCGGGCAGGAAATGGGGTGTTTCAGTCAACCACATCTGAAATCTCTAGGCTTTCAAGAGTCACTGAGAGGGAAAGCAAGGCCCAAAGACACATGTTGGAGAAAACAGACACCAAACACAGGTCATTTTCATCCATCTGTATCCTACAGCCTCTACAGAGATAAGGATGTAAAGACTCACAAGCAAAAGTGCTCAAGGGATGCTATAAACCATAGCACTGAGGAAAAAATACCCATCTCGGATCTGCAGCTTCTCCACACACGCTAAGCAGCAATTCTTTGCTGTTCCCAGACAAGTACAAAACCAGCCAGCATTCCCATAACTGCCTGTGCTCCCGATTTGCTTTGTAGAGGCACCTGGTGAAGTTCTCAGGCTGCAGCCCCCCAAAAGTACAATGCAAAAGCCCATGCTTTCCACCCACCCAGCCAGACTGCACACAAAAACAGCCTGCACCCTGGAAATAGGGGGAAAATCATAGTGTTTGTGTGTATAGGGGGTTGGAAAGGGTGTCTTATTGGAAGCTTTTCCCTCAGGTAAAACAGTACTATTAAATAGCAGTAAACAGCAAGGGTTTTCTCATGACCAAGAAAGTCTCCATCCTAAATCAGTCCCCAGCGCACATCGCTGTCCCTCTACCAGTCAAACAGAGCACCCAAGCCCAGCAGTGCGGCGGCCTCTGGCTCCCAGGTGGTTTCAGGCAGACTAAAGCACGAGAAGCACCGGGAGTTCCCGCTCCGTGCGCTCTGTCTCCCCGCAGTGGCGGGAGCCGCTGCCCAGGCCCGTCCCCCGGCGCGGGCCCGGCTCTGGCCGGCTGCCACGCACCCGTCCCTGCCCGCGCTCGGCCTGGCCACGCCGCCGAGGCTTCCCCGCTCCCGCCCCCTACGACGGCCGAAGCGGCACGGCGCAAACGGCCGCCAAGGCCGCTCTGACACACGGCAGGGCCCCGACGCGGGCCCGCACTCACCCCTTCATGGTGCGGCCGCGGCACGGCGGATGCTGGCGCCCGCGCTCGCTGCGTGCAGGCCCCGGCGGCGCAGCTCCGGCCTCACCCTCCTGCTCGCCCCGGGCAGCGCTGGCGGCTCAGCCTCCGGCTCCCGCTCCACATGGGCCTCCGCCGCCGCCGCCCGTCCGCGCCCCACCCCCACCGTGACCCCTCACCTCACGCCGCGCGCGCGCTCACGCACCCACTCATGGCCGTGACCCCCCCTCCCTCCCGCCCTTCTTGCGGGCCACGCATGCGCTGAGCCGGGCTGCGCCGGGCTAGCCCGGGCCGGGCCCGCCCCCGCGCCCTTACGCCGCGGCGGGGGGGGGAGGCAGCGCGCGGCAGCTCCCACGTGACCTTGCTGGGCTCTGCCGGGGGGGCGGAGCTGCTGCTCGTCACGTGGCGCGGGGCGGGCAACCGTGCGCGCTGGCGCCTGACGCTGTGTTTCTCCCCCTCTCCGTTTTGGGCGCGGGAGGGGCGCTTTTGTCGTCCTCTCCCTCCTCTCTCCCCCCACTTTTTTTTCCCCCCCGGGCGGCAGTGAAAAACAGCAAACAAGTTCAAGCTAAGGTACGAGTTTTACCCGGAACTGGAAGCGCAGCCGCTGGCCCGTACCGGGCGCTTCCTGCGTCCGCCTCCTCGGGCGCTCGAGAGGGCGGCGCATGCGCGCGGGGGCGCTCATCAGCTGATCGGCCGCCGGACGGAGCCGGCCGCGGGGTGGCTGTTGCGGCCGCCGAGCGCAGGTGAGGCCCCTTCCCGCTGCCGCCCCGGCTTCCGAGGCCCCGGTCTGCTCTGCTTCCCCGCCTTGCTGCGCAGCGTCTGCGTGCCGGCTCGTTCCGGCTCCTGATGAGCTTTGCGCCAGGTCGTGCGGGGCGGGAAGCAACGGCCCCTCCCGTGACCGTTAGCGGTTAGGCGTGCGGCCTTTCCCCCATTCCTCCCGCTTACCTCCGTGCCCCCCCCCGCCTGAGGGAGAGCTCATCAGTCCGGCACGGCCCCCGCACCCGCCGGCGCTGGGCGGCGCGGCCCGGCGGGAGCGGCACGAGCTGCCCTCGCCGCGGCCCTGCGGAGGGAGCGCGGCGGGCCGGCCTCCAGATGCGTCGCGTATTCGGCGCCGATGTGTGTTATTTTTACCAGCCTGTCTTTTAGTGGGAGTCTTCAATCTCATTATTTATTAATTTATTCACTCCTTGCAGGAAGGAAAATAGTTGAGTAATAGAAAAAAAGGCTTGAAAGTAGCCTACCAAAGAGAGCTTCACCGCTCACAAGCGTTAGGAGAAAATGCCTGATGGCATCCATCCCAGCAGTACCTGGGAAAGCACTGTGAGGAGAAGCAATGGTAATAGCCAGGTTCCCTGGGCTGCTTTGCATCTTCCCTTGGAAGGATGAAATTGAGCCTTGTTGTTCTTAGTTGTGCAGTTAACATGTTGCAGGCTTAGGGAACTGGAACACATTACCGCCTCGACTAGTGGCAACTTTTTTTCCTAAGTGAAAGGACCTGTGGGGCTTCAAATACTGATGAAAAATCAAATGTTTTTCTTGTTTGTATATCTAGTGATAAAATCCTAATCTGGAGTTTCTAGATGAGATTCCAAACATCACATTTAAAACTCACTTAAATTCAAGAAAATGTCCTCAGGAAACTGGGTTCTAAATGATACTATTCTTGTCCCAAATGTCTGTGATAAATTTTTGACAATGTATGAATATATGTGTTCATTAAATGCAGTGATTTTTTTTTTTTTTTTTTTTTTTTTTTGCTATTTTCTGTTGATTAGGGACTTTTGATTCCAGATGAAGTGTTTTGGAGTTTTTTTAAAAAATGCTAATGGTTTTATTCATTGTAACGCAACACTACGGTGAAAGTACATTGGATACTTGATATCTTGTGATACTCAAATGCTAATACTTGATGTGGTGGAGAAGAGGTTGCAAAGGAGTAAAATTTGCTAATCAAATGCTAAAGGTAGTTTATTGGCAGAGTCATTTGTAGCAATTCACCAGAAAATGTGCTCAGGGTGGATTAGCGTTTCACAAATTTTTTGAATGTGTTTGAATAAAAGAGGCAGTTCCTTAAAATATTATGAATTGTTTGATTGTATGATGCTGACTTTCATCTGCTGTAGATCTGTGGAGTGAAAATGTTTTGCAGTTCTTCTAAAGGTATTTTGATGGGTATCATGATTAACAGTATCTACGTTTTATTATTTTTGCTTTAAGAAATTGTGAAATCAATGCCTACAGGTTTTCAATTTAAAAAAAAATAATTTTTTCTCTGCATTTGCCAATATGTCAAATATCCTTCTTTCTTCCTCTTATGGAGGAGGAAAAAAAAATTGTTCTATAATCAGGAGTCAAAGCAAGACTATAAAAAAAAAAAAAAAAAAGACAGACAACCCTAAAACACAGTTTTTGGGGCAGGGAAAGGAAAGATTAAGACATGTAGAAAATGTCTGCTAGTATCAGCTGACTGTTTAAATGGGAGTGGAAGTTTTGTGTCGCAATAGCAACAAGTTCTCAATTTCCTGTAAGTCCAGTCTTCCCGTTTTCAAATCACAAATCTTTTTCTCCCATGGGTGAACCTAGTAAAGTTCACCCATGAAAGATTAATACACCATGCTCAAATTTTACATAGTTCTGGCTTAAATTTAGCCCTTATTTTGATCTACATGTGTATTAACTCTTTCCCCTCATCACTCTTCACATAATCTATAAACTTCAATCTGCTTCTGCACCTTCTTTCCCCCCTCCCCCCCCCCTCAAGTATGACTTAATATATTTATCTTCCAAATGCACCTGGGTACTGAGATTACATGTTACCATCTTAAGTGGTGTTAGACCATCAGGCTATCAGATGATTTTCCTGGAGGGTTCACGGAATCACAGAATGGTTAAGGTTGGAAGGGAGGGTCCTGTAGAGGTCATCTAGTCCAACCACTCTGCTCAAGCAGGGACACCTAGAGCATGTGGCACAGGGTCGCATCCAGGTTGGTTTTGAAGACCTCCAGAGAAGGAGACCTCTCTGGACAGCCTGTTCCAAGGCTCTGTCACCCTCACAGGAAAGAGATTCTTCTTCATATGGAGATGGAACTTCCTGTGTTTCAACTTACACCCATTGCCTCTTGTCCTGTCACTGGCCACCACTGAGAAGACTTTGGTCCCCTCCTCGCTACATTCCCCCTTCATGTACTTATACATATTAATCAGATCCCCTCTCAATCTTCTATTCTCCAGGCTAAAGAGGCCCAGCTCACCAAGTCTGTTCTCATACCATAGATGTTCCAATCCCTTCATCATCTTTGTTGCTCTCCACTGGACCCTCTCTAGAAGCTGCATGTCCCTCTTGTATTGGGGATCCCAGAACTGCACACAGTACTCCAGGTCCAGCCTTACCAGAGCTAAGGAGAGGGGCACGGATCTCTCAACCTGCTGGCAGCGCTCCTCCTGATGCAGGCCAATATCCCATTGGCTACGAGAGCACGCTGCTGGCTCATGCTTAACTTGCCGAGGAGTTCATGCACTAGGACTCCCTCTCTGTGGATCTGCTTTCCAGCAGGTCAACCTGCTGTACCAATGCCTGGAGTTATTCCTCCCCAGGTGCAGGACACTGCACTTGTCCTTGCTGAACCTCATGAGAGAAACTACAGTTAGAGGCAGTAATGCTGACTCTTCGACAATCTCTTTTTAGTTCCTGAGTTCAAAGAATTCATTCTTGAGCTTTTCCTCCACGCTATTAAATTCATTGCTTGCCAGTTTAAGCTCTATTCCTAATCAGTTATCTTCTGTCTTTTTAAAAGAGTAGAAGGATTGATTGAAGAATAACTTAGTTGATAGCTTTTGTTACTTTGGTGTAGACCAGAAAATGTTGCATGCTAGCCAGGTAATGGTTGTTTTCTTTCTTTAGTTTGTTTTACTGTAGCTCCCAGAAAAGTATTAGCAGCTATATAGCAGCTGTTGCAAGGAACTGAAATAGATTTTTCTTGCTTGTCTGTATTGCAAAGGCAAGAATCATTTTTCTGTTCTCTTTTCTTTTTCCTCTCTCTCTCTTTTTTTTTTTTTTTTTTTTTTTTTTTTATTTGGAAATACTGAGATACTTATGAACAGTAATATCCCCATGTTTTTTAGAATGGAACACTCTTAAGGGAAACAGATGATATACTCATCTGGAATATCATGCTAGTTGACTCTTACTCACTATCTTCAAGCATGTGACTAGCGTTCCATCTGAATGGAGAGAAATGGAGACTAGGCCAGGAGATGAAGGGGAATGAAGCTAAATGTCTCACCTTTTTTCTTCTGCTAGAAATGAGTTAATATTGCTTGCTGGCTTGCAAGGGTGATTTGTGAAGAAGACTGAATCTTCTGAATGTTATTCTTGTATACCTCTTTATGCTCTGTTTCCTCTTTTGAAAGTGGATAGTAAGGCTTATGCTAAATTCTTGCGTTTGGTAATATGGTGATGTGTTCTACAGTCTATCTCATGTAAACTTTTTGTCTTTACAGTTATTTCTCCCCTTTTTGTGAATTTTTGTCAGAGCACTGCCATTTTCTTTAAAAGATTTACCTTTTGTCACTGTTTCTTTAAATTTCACTTTGATGTGTGGCTGCTATAACAACATTTGTCATATAATGTCTGGCTTTACAGAAATGATACACCTACTCTGAAAACCGCTAAAATTTATATCAAGTTATATACTTATACAGGCTTGTCTAATACTAATTTTTAGGAGCAGTTCTCATTCTCTCTGGAAATAATTTATCTGGCAGTAGTCTGAACCAATCATGGCATAGCTTTGTCACAGTTTTGTCATCGTTTATAGCATTTTAGGGAGTCTTTTGTTGATATCTTAAAATCAGAAGACATCAAGGATTGCTAAATCTAATACAGGAGACTGTCACCCGCAGCCACATTTTTATAACCTAGAGCTTTCTCCTTTGGCAATCTGGCATCTGTTTAATCCTGAGAAGAATAATCCTAAATACCAGGATTACCACAATTAACTGCTGAGACTATTTCTAGGGACACAGGACAGTGTTCCCGGAGAGTACCTCTACCATTAAAGTGTCTGTTAATCAACTGAAGATTACCCATATTTAATAGATTTTCATGGCTGAATGAAGCCTTTGAAAAAACCTTGAAAAGGATTTCATAGCCTTGGTGAGTTTCAGATGACCAGCCTGTCCATCATAACTCTTCCTACCAGACTGCATCCCAAGAAGAATGCAGAAACCTGACCTGTGAAGATGTAGTGTTATCTTTGCTGTGTTCCCACCTCTGGGATATTATCAGCTGTGCTCGTATGCTGTGGCGGGGATGGTAGAGGTGTTGTTTGGGACTGCAGAGAAGATGAAGTGAACAGAATAATTCCTGTTAAAGGATTATCTTAATTGAAAAAAAATCTCTTTGGAGAAATTAATATTGATAGCATATAGATAACTTTGGGAAAGACATTAAAAGATAACTGTTGTGTGAATTTTCTCTAGAATCTTGAAATCTTCATTACTGTGGCATCAATACATATCACGCTGTAGGTGTTCAGGCAACAGCCGCCATATGTCCTTTAAACAATGTTAAAACTTAATGCAACTCTGGCAGTTTAAAGAAGCTGTAAATACTTTATATAATTAAGCAGAATCTCCAAGTATGACTCATCTTTCTTTAAAACATCAAGATGAAGTTTTCTGATACAGGGGAAGACTGCCTCAGTATAACTTCCTTTTATTGGATTCCTTTGCCCCGTGTGTGCGTGCTGTGATTCCAGCCAGCTGGCTCATTGTACAGAAGTGCTGTAAAAGAGTACTCCTATATGGTAAGGGTATGAGATTTGTCTCAAAGTCTTCCATGCCAACTTATTCACACTTATGAGCTTGTGCTCAGTACTATGAGTGTACTGTGAGCTTGTGCTCAGTATTTTTGTTTACAGCATTTGGGGACAATGCATTAGGTAGTGGTGAAGCTTGTAAAGAAGCTGGTATATTATCATCGAGTCAGTTGTAAAATTAAGCCTAGCTACAAATCTAGAAATATTTTTTTATGAGGTTGCATGTCTTTTATATCATATGTCTATGATTCTTTCTTACTATTCAGGAGTAGTGAACTGTAGTGAAGTTTGTTCTTCTAATTCCTTATGATTTTGGGTTCACCTCATTTTGATGGTGTTATCTGAAATGCTAAAGCAGCATGAAATATTTCAAGTAATTATGCCAAATGCACCTAAACCAAAGTGACTAAACTAAATTGAAATGTTTTCTTTTTAATTAAAGCAGGGATGGATTTAATTTTGCAGTAATGTTAGCAAGGTTATTTCCTATTAAAAATAATAATTCATTATAAGAAATAATGGAAGGATGACCCATTTCAACCTATAGAGTGCTTGTGGAGAAACATGCTGGACTTCCTGGAGAGGAAAGAAGCACTGGTGTACTGTTCCCATAGGCATGTATCTATTTATCCGAAGGAAAATGATAACGAGTTGTAGGATGGGCTTCATGGTTCACAATTTCACTTTGTAGCTGTTGTCTTTCCTGAAGCCCCTTGCAGCTATTGTCTTTTCTGAAGGCATCAGACTTCAGGAAAAGTGTCATGTGCTAACAGTGACATCATAATTCTAGTTCTTGTCATTTCTCCTGAAAGCACCTCTATTTACCTGTGTGCTGAGTAGCAATATGGGCAGCAACCAAGGAAGAGAGTAAGCGATTTATGGGTCCCAAGAACAAATTGCAAGCAAAATGAATTATTGCATCTAAATCTTCAGTTTCTAACAGAGCATTGCATGTGCAGACTCTTAACCTGTCAAGGGCTGAGGTGGTCTCAAAGTGTTCTGTGGCATTATCCACATATCTAAATGGAAATCTGTACTGTTGAGTATGTATCATCTCCTCTGGAGATCTTCAAAGCCTGCCTGGATGTGACCCTGTGCCACATGTTCTGTGTGTCTCCGCTTGAGCAGCGGGGTTGGACTTCATGATCTCTAGAGGTCCCTTTAATCATCCTGTGATTCTGTGAGTTTAAGAAAAAGTACTTCTGGCTCTGAACTTAGGGCAAGAATGTTGCCTATAAGGTTCTCAGATGCTTGTAGGGAAGGCATGGCATGGGGAATAAGGCATTACTCTGAGCACAGAAAATGGATCCTGCATCGTTTTCTTAAACTGTAGGTTTAGGAGGAGTGGTTGATGCGTCAGATGATTGTGCTACCATTCAGAAGGAATCTCAATAGGCTGAAGACAGGACTCCTAAAAAGTTCAATATAAGAAAATTCAAAATCTTGTACTCCATACATCATGCCAGACTGTGGACCAGCTGGCTGGAGAACAGCTTTGTAGGGAAAAAAATGAGGGTTCAAGTGGCCAGTAAGTAGAATATGAGCCAGCATTGTACCCTAGTAGAAAAAAACAGCCGGCTGTTAGGAGTGTTGCCATCAGGTTGAGGGAGGTGATCATTCACCTCTGTTCAGCTCTGGTGTGGCTGCATTGGGAGTGCTGAGTCCAGTTCTGGGTTTACCAATGCAGGAAAGACACAGGTGTTCCAGAGTGCACCCAGCAAAGGGCCACAAAGATGAGAAAGGGTTTGAAGCATCTTCCACACAAAGACACTAAGACAACTGGGAGTGTCTAGCCTGCAGAAGAAAAAGCTCAGGTGAATCTTACCAGTGTGCACAAATAACTGATGGGAGGAAGGACAGAAGATGGATCCAGATTCTTCTCTATCATATTCAGTGAAAGAAAAAGAAGCAGTAGCCACAATCTGAAATACAGGAAGCTTTATTTAAATGTAAGAAAACATTTTTTCTGGGAAGATGGTCAAGCATTAGAACAGGTCACCAGCGCAGTCACACAATCTCCATACTACGAGGTGTTTAGAAACCATCTAGATAAAATTCTGTCTGTTCTATTTGACCACCTTTGAGCCGAGGGTTGGAACTAGATTATCTCCAGAGGCGTCATCATTGATTCTGTGATTGAGAAGTCTGGAATTTTCTTTGGTTTATTATGCTAAACTTACAACCATGCATAAGATTAAAGAGCAAATTTCTGAAAATATTGTTGAGCTTCTATTGTAAATGCCCTTTGTTCTGGGCATGTGGGGTTTTTTGTTGGTTTTTTGTTGGTTTTTCTTTTTTTTTTTTTGTGTTGAATGACTTATGCATTTGTCAAGTAATTTAGGCATAGCATTTTTAATATTTCCTCCTAAAAATGTTTCTGTTGAAAGGAGAAGTATAAACTGTCCATTTTACAATAAATCTGTGACTATATATATCATAAATTTTATGAGGCCTTTACAGCACATCCTGTTCTGTACTAAAATCTGTTCAGTTGAACTAAGCAATGTGTAGACAGTGGGTTGTGCTCAGTAGTATCCTGTCCAGAGTGAGAACTTGTTCGGTCTAGGTTTCAGTTAGAGGAGGAGGAAGGAGAGAAATTTTCTTTGGAAAACTTCTTATCCGATCAAGTTTGGAAAAAATTATCAGGCTTTCCTGAATATTGCACTTTAGGACTTGTATTCAGTGTGTGTTGTGTTGTTTTGTTTTGTTTGTTTGTTTTTACATAATGCTGCTGACTCTAAATAGTCTTGTGCTATTTACTATAGTTTAGATTATTGTATTAATGGATCAAATTGGGACAAAGGCTTAATTTTAAACTTTATGGAATTAGTATTGTGAATTTGCAATGATTGCAGGGAACTCTTCAGATTGTGCAGTCTCTGGGGAGAGAGACTGCATAGCTCTTGTCTTTTGTACAACAGATGGAGCATGATGGTGCGCAGCTACCTTTGCTGACAGATTCCAGCAGCTGACATTTAATGTGGAGCATCAGTCTATGTAATTAAAGTTTGGATACTATGTGATTTCATCAATGCTTCTGCTGCCTATAGAAGTATTGTGTGTGTGCTCGTTTGTTTTTTAAAAACAGCAGGGAGTCACCACAAATTTACAATTTGAGAGAATCAATACGTATTCTTAAACTCAGTTTGTGTTTCACCGTCTTTGACAGTGGCCTATGCAGTCTGTTAAATGCTGCCATTAACCTGTGGCAGAACAGAACATGGAGAACTCCTATAGCTGGACTGGCTCTGGCAGAAAGCCCTCTCTTGCAAGGATTTTTATAGTATGATCTTGGAGCCTTTGGTACAGTGGGATTGTTGGTTTTGTAGGAGGTCCTTAAAATGAATTATGCTATATATAATTTCTTCTTTTTGCTACTATGCAGTTCAGGAGGGCAGTTCAACAGCCTGGAGGATCACTTGTGTTGCTATTGCGGCATTCCTCTGTGCTGCTGGGGGAGAGCACAGTGACTCATCAAGTCAGGTGGTTGTGGCTCTGCTGTGTGTCGGGAATTTCTTTCCCCTCTGCAGCAGGCTTCCTCATCCTTCTGTGCAGGGGCACTAGAAGGACACTTATTTCCTATACTATGGTGCTTAACTGCTGACTTTTGGCTTTACCTTTAGATTTTTTGTTCCTCCTGGATTCTGCAAAACGTGGTAAGAATCTTTGTTTGTTAAATAATCCTGGATTTTACTATTTTCGGTAAAGGGAATATTTCCAAAAATCACAACAGGATCCTTATTTTGAGTAACTCTTTGTAGTAGGGCAATTAATTCTGTAAATTGTGGGACTGATCAACTCTTTGAATCAAAAACAAGGCACTGTAACAGAAAACGGATTTCTCCTGCACCTAAAAGAGCATTTGGGGGTGGAGGGGTGGCAGGAAGGCTTTGGGTAGCCAAATTACTCCACTAGGAAGAAATGTAGATGATAATGAAGGACAATAACTGGAATTTTCTAAGTGATGGATATAAAGGGACTTTTTATGATTTAATAATTCATGCATCAGTGTGAGATGGCTCTGAAGCAAGTAATGTTTTCTGAGTATATTAAGCAAAATATGCACATGTTAAAGCTTGAAAGCAGGTTTAAAGTTAGTAGTGCTCCTCTTTATTAAGACAATTTCCCCCTTATAGCTTACATAGGATACAAACTGCATCTCTGTTGATTACATAGGAATTAAAATTAAGCGAGTACACTTTATTGGTGTGCTACTTCACTTTGTAGATGGGAGGCCTCTGGAAGGCTGTAAAGAATTCTATATGTTTCCAAAATGGCTAGCTGCTTTGTCCTCTGAGGTCAGTAGCTACTACCTGCACACATATAAAGTGTGGTTTAGCAAATTCTGATATGCTTTAGGAAGTTCACTTTCATCTGGGGACTAGCATGGTGGACACTGAAGAGTGTAGGATAAAACATCTCTGCCCTCAAAGACTTTTTCTTTGTCTAAAACAGAAATCTGTAAAGCCAGTAGACAAACAGCAGAGAACTGTGCAAACAGCAGTGTTATGTTAAATTATGTTCAATGTTAAGACACACAGCCCCTTACAAAAGAGGTCAGCTTCACATTGGGCTTTAGTCTGTTTGTACTTTTGTTTGGAGCTGCATAAGAGGGGCAATACAAGTTTGTGTTTAAAAGGAGTCAGTGTAGATGATAAAGATAGGAATAAAATTGAATTTATCAGTGTGTTCATAGGTGATCTTATGAAGTAATGCCATTCCATGTAAATTTGTTTGGATGAGAAATGGGGAAGGACCCTCTAAAGTCAGGGAGTGGAAGTAGAGCCACAAGAAGAGAGATCAACATAAGTGTGTCCTCCAAGAGTGTCCTTCTTACAAGATAAACAGTTGCTTCAAATAGCAGTTAGTTGACCTCCAGGTTTTGATATGGATCAAAGGAAAAATAGGTTTAAATTAAACTGACCAGTGTTCTTATGCTCATTTGCTTAGGTAGGTAAATTGATAGTGACCATTTCTTGTGCAGAACCCTGTGCTTTTCTAATTGCCAGTGTTGCTAGTTCAGCCATAGGAGAGTTTTAGCCCCTTAGTTGCAACTCCGTAAGTAGTTTTGGTAGCAGGACTGTAGACACAATTGTGTATAGTATCTTAAAGGAAATCTTTGAGTGGAACACTAAGGCCTACTTTTGTCTGTACAAAGAGCAGCTGTGCTTGAGTTTTGCAGTGGGCTGGTGATTCAGAGCAAACAAGATGAATTTTATGAGATCAAGATTGGTTCTGATAAGCTGTCTGAGTGACTGCTTTGCAGGAACCTCCTCCTGCAGTTTGTCAGGGGAGTGCTTGAGAAATAAGCAGTAAAATTAAAACTGGCCTTCTGGTACTAAAGAACAGGCAGCTTAAAGTATAAACAGCCATTACAGGGAGATGTAAGAGGTGTGTGACTACAGATCTTTTGAGCTCTTGAGTTATGAGCTCCAGTGCGGATGGGTCACATTCAGCTGTTGGGTAGCTGTTGGGAAATGAGTCAGTGGTGGACATCTTGCACAACTGGCTCCAGCAAGCACCAGAGCCTGGAAAAAAAAGTGTTTGTTCAGGATGAGTTCTGGGTCATGGGACATCCTTGCCTTATAGAGCTGAGCCACTGACTTAAAGTATCTACACTGATAAAGAGGTTGGAGTGAGCTGTGCTATAGTATTAAAGACCTGGGGAACAGTTCTGAGGTTTTAAGAAAAGCAAATATCCACTGCCTACTGCTGCTAAAGCACACACTGAAAAAAAATCATTAAAAAATAAGGGATGGCAACATGGCTGTCTTCAACACAATGTAAAGGAAGATTTCAAGCCTTAATATGCCCCTCTGAATTTGCTGTCTTGCAGAAGGTGCGTGGTTGAAGTTAAGCAACTTGCAACAGCCCAGAGTAAATGAAGGCCTGGTCCCTGAGCCGTGCTGCTTTGGTGCATATGCCCTGTTGATAGGCAGAGGGCAATGCGTTCTCAGACTAGCATGCTATGTCTTTCCTAAGTGCTGTTGGAAGTGTATGGTTAAAGTAGCAGTGAGTAGATGCTGCCTTGCAGTTGTCTAACACTGATGAGTTTCCATGGTAACACAGGCTGAGATGACGAAGTGTGAACTACTCATCAGCAGATCAGCTGACCTGTCAGCTACAGGACACAGATGGACAGAGAGATCAGTTTCGAAACAGCTTAAACAGCTTTTCGTGTTCCAACTGTTTAGCTTCTTTAAAAAGTTATTGGCAAGAGATGTCAGTCCATTGTTTAACTCTTGCAAGCTAGGCTTTTATTTTTTTTTTTGGTTTGTTATTCAGCGGAAATGCTCTATAGTTGTCCACAGGTTTCACAGAGAACACGGACTGCAGAATATTGTTTAACTGGGGAGTATTTAGAGCTAGGTCTCGTGCTTGCATGCTAGTGCTCACAAAATTGCATGTTTTTTTTTCCTCTAAGTGCTACATCCCAGCAGTTTGAGATGGTAAAAATAGGATTTCCACAATTAATATTTGTAGTATTGCCTTTTGAGAGACTGCTGGTGTTGAAGCAGCCACTGAATATTGTTCTTATTCTATCACAATGAGCTCTATGTTATGAGGGGAGGTAGCTGAAATGCGACGGCAGAAGATCTCCGGTGTTTAAATATCATGTAAGTGGGCTGGAAACTAGCCTGACAGTGTCATGACACCTTTGGACTATAATATAATTGTTTTATTTAGCAGTTTTTTTTGTAGAACTTGTTATGGAGTGATATTCCATCCCTGGGTTTTGCAGTAAAGAATGTTCATTCTTGGTGTATGGATTTTCTTGCTTTTTTTTTGTTTGTTTTTGTTTTGTTGTTTGTTTTTAATGAGTCACTCTAAATAATTTTGAAATTGAAACAGGTAAATATTTTAGGCTTACATGCCTTTGAAAATTCTTCATTATTTCTTCTGACTGGGAAAAAAAGGAGAGGAGAAAAGAAGAGATTATTACACATGTCTTTGCTCTTCAGAAATGACGTTTTCCTCTTCCTCCTTTGTAGTTGAACAGGCAAAATGGATTTCTCCAAGCTACCCAAAATCCGTGATGAGGACAGAGAGGCTTTTGTTGGCTATGTCCATGGTGTCTCAGGACCAGGTAGGTATTATTTGACAGAGGAACCTGTAAGTTCTATTTCATTTGCTGTTTTATGAGATTTTCCTGTTTACAAGAAGTGCTTTGCAAGAAGCTCCGGTTGATTTTCCTTTTTGAGAAGAACTTTTGAGCACGACTATGTCGTGCCCTGACTAAAAGTGAGATACTCTAGCAAGGTGTTACTGCTTATTACTCTTAAAGTAACAAGAAAGAAGCAGGGTGCTTAATAATATTAAAAAAAAAAAAAGATAGCAAGCATTTTGAATGAGATAAAGCCACTTTATCTGCAGGTTTTTGACCATTCAGCTTCTCTAAAAGAGTATGTGTAGTACATTCTCACTTAAATATAGTTTGAACTTTTCTTCTCTGGAGTCCTCAGTTCATTTTGTTAAGCTTTTGTGTGTTACTGTTCCATGGCCTGGAGAACTCTGTCAACGAGCTGCAAGGACCTGCAGGAAATTAGTGGATCTGGAAAAAGAGAGCACCTTTCCTGTACAGTTGCACCACTTCTTTTATACCAGTTTGTGTTACAGCTTTTGAATACATTATTACAGTTTATAACAGTATCCAAATGCTACTTAAGTAAATAAAATCTATAAAAAGTTGGAAAAGCCTGTTCTCAACCACAGCTTTCAGCAGAGTTTATAAGATGTGCTTTTGTTATTTTCTTACATGTTTTAATTCAGATGAGAATGCATCCCAGATAAATTAAAGAATTACTGATCATAATGTGTGTCAGAATCCTAGGTGTATGTTGTCCAGTTCTCATTACCTTCTGAAGAGTAAATGTGAAAAACCACAGAAAAAAATATTGACCTAGATGTCTGTCTTCTACAGTGGTTACGGCTTGTAACATGGCAGGTGCTGCTATGTATGAACTGGTGCGAGTAGGCCACAGTGAACTGGTGGGGGAAATTATCCGTCTGGAAGGTGATCTGGCAACTGTCCAGGTATATGAAGAAACATGTATCCTTTTCACTAGCCTCTTGCGGCTTGACAGGCTGTGCAGAATGATGATTATGGTGAAGGTAAGAGCTCAGTATTCCCAATGCCTGCAGGCAGCAACATCTGCTCTCCACATCTATTGTAATTTTAGAGCTTTTGAGATAGATCTTATTAACTTCAGCAGTGTGCTTAAGACGCTTTTTTTAATGGAAATGAAATAATGTACTCTAAATTCATTTTAATTTAAATATTAAATTCTCATAGCTCTTTGCTTAGCATGCTGCTTGAAAAATGTTAACCATAAATTACAAAACTACCAACCAGTATTTTTATATATATTTTACTTTGAGAATAATGCTCGAAGAGATTTGAAATGTAAAAGTGGGAAGGAAAAGTGAGGGCTCTTGAACAGGCTATTCTGGCAGACATAGTAGATTACACCTGTGCTTTTTTACTGTAAATATAAATTCTAGTTCTGGCTAGGACACAGCCTATGTTTTCAGATTGAGTTACTTCTCATAGAAAATATATTTTAGGAGAAGATGTTAGAGAGGAAGTCATTAAATTCAAAGTTGGATGTTCTTTTTATCCTCTTGTCATCCTTTAAAATTAGTCATATGCATAAACAGTAGGAAGAAGGCAAAGCTTTGTTTTGAGGAGCCAGATGATAAACTGGTAACCAGCTGTTATCTATACCTAATAGTTTGTAACTTTATCTGGCATCATCATTGTAATAGCAAGTAACCATTCATCAATGTGTTGAACTAGGCTTGTTCAAGCCTATCACTTACCTTCTCATCAGGAATCTGAGCCAGTGAGGGTAAGTCTAATCTCTCAAGTTTTGCATATGATTATGGGGATTTGTCTTATTTTGAGAGGGTTTTTAACAAACTGCAGTCCCTTTCCACAGAAATCCACTGTGTGTAAATGGTGCATAGACTGTAGAATTTATTATCAGAGGCGAGAGAAGTAATACTAACTTAGGACAAACTTCTTGTAAAATTATACTGCTGTCAGAAAATCTCTGCAAGGCTCAAAGTCAAAACCCTTGTGATCTCCAAGAAATTCTGAAAAATCTATGCATTTCATATAATTGGAAGACTTTCTAACAATAAAATCAGATTTCTAGGTTTAAAGGGTTAGTACAGATGCCTGATGTTTTGTCATGCTGCTGCATTGCCATTCAGTAAGCTTACCCCTATAGTTACCCTGAATTGTGCTTTGCTTCTCTGGAGGTTGGGAACTTTGCCTAAGCAATGTCAACTTGGACTTAGTAAAAGATGGTGGGTAATATACTGGTAAAAATACTGTGTTTAGTAGAAGGTGGTTTAGCAGCATGTTGTTGTGAATGTGATGCTTTCTGCCCTACTACTCTTTTCCCTTTCTGTGGGTGAACTTTTCCTCAAACAAACCTTTAGCTGGTGTCTCTGTAGGAGATCCTGTACTCCGTACAGGCAAACCCCTGTCAGTGGAACTAGGGCCTGGCATTATGGGAGCTATATTTGATGGTATCCAGAGGCCTCTATCGGACATCAGCACTCTGACCAAAAGTATCTATATCCCTAGAGGTGTCAATGTGTCAGCTTTGAGCCGAGATGTCAAATGGGACTTCACACCTTCCAAAAACTTACGGGTAGGTTCAGACAAGCTTGTTTTTTTTTCTCTTGCCTCTCTCCACTCAGAAATCCCATTCAGTGTTCTAAGGAGTTGCAGCAGAGTGCAGAGGCTGAAACTCTTGAGAACTATGGGCACAGTGCGTTAAATCTGTGAAAATAGACACTGGCAGGTGACAGGGGGGCATGAGTGAGGATTTGAAAGAGGTCACCAAGGTTTGTGTAGTGTGACTTACTGTGAAGTGTTGATGCCTCTGTGAAATCTGGAAAATGGAAAACTTAATGTATCTTAGTACCACAAAGATGTAGTAGAACTGCACTAAGCCTATCCAGATGTTACCTGGGCAAAAGCCTGCAATACAGATATTTTGAGAATAGTGAAGATGGCCTTGCTGCTGAGGAAATATAGTATCTTAAACCTTTGATCTTTTCCTTTTTGCAGCCTTGCAGGGTTTGTATATGCTGTCTTGTCTCAACTTTAAAAGGTTAGGTATAGAAGAAGTGAGAATTCTTGTGTCAGTCAGTAATTGCTGTTGCTTGAGTTTTGAATCGCTCCTGAACACTGATAATATTGCTATTAATGTACTGCTAGAGTCTAACGAGTTATGTAAATGAACTACCATGCTGCAACTGTGCATTTATAAAGGAAGGGATCAGAGTGCTAGACTTTATAGCTATTATTGCTTTATACGAATCTTTAACAAGATTCTCGATTGGAATTCTCAATTATGACTATGTCTCTTTTTTTTTTTTTTTTTTTTTTTTTTTTTTTTCCCTTTTTTTTTTTTTTTTTTTTTTTTTTTCCATGTTTAGATTGGCAGCCACATCACTGGTGGAGATATTTATGGTGTGGTGAATGAAAACTCACTCATCAAACACAAAATTATGTTGCCCCCACGGAACAGGGGTACAGTTACATACATTGCTCCACCAGGGAACTACGACACCTCAGTAAGTTTCCCAAACAGTAGTTATCAGGATATTCTATGTTGTTTTAATAAGGTGAATGTATGTGTTTTGTTTGGTATGATGCCAAATAAGTATTTTGTGCAACTGGGATTACGTGATTGTCTTGTGAAGTTGCTTTCTGTGTGTATGATTCCCCTAGTGGCACTTCAGCATGCCATATCTGTTGTCTTGTGTGGGGAACTATAGTATTCCATAAACATGAATAATTCAATTGCTCCTCAGCTGCATATTTGCAGCTAAAGCTTTATTGTGCACTCATTTTCCCTATAGTTCTATAAATATTGGAAAGTGCTTTCCTTCGGGTATGGATGATGGTAGGTTGAAGTTCTGAAAAAATCTGTGCTAGGGTGAAAGACGTGGCTGTGCAGTGCTGTTGAGGTGAGAATTTGGATGGTTATGCAGCATATAGCTGTTATTCTTAAGTCTGCTGCTCTTTTTAGGATGTTGTCTTAGAGCTGGAGTTTGAAGGTGTAAAGGAGAAGTTCACTATGGTTCAGGTCTGGCCTGTACGCCAAGTCCGTCCCGTTACTGAAAAGTTACCAGCCAATCATCCTTTGTTAACTGGCCAGCGGGTCCTGGATGCACTCTTCCCGTAAGTCCAATCTGAGAAAGGCTTATATTCTAATATATAAGAATTCTTCTTGCAAGGGAAGGGAAATAATTTAAACAAAGAAAGTGGGGGGAGACAAGCAGGCCTCAATGTTCTCTATGTACTACAGCATAATCTCAAAAATATTCAGTGAAAGTACTTATGCTTTTGTCTGACAAGCGAATCTGCAGTAGAAAAAAAGAAAAATGCAAGAAGATAGTTGTATAATCCAGAATATAATTGACATGAGTATAATCCAGAAAATAATTGACAAGAGCAAACTTAAAATAAGGATGGGGGATCAACAGAAAGTCTGAGACTTTGAAGCATAACATATGAGCAGGATCTCTTTCTGTGATGTTAATTCCACTTATTTTGGAGTCACCACTTATGAAAATTGAAGCACTTAAACTAGTATCCTTACATGTAGTTCAGCACTGAGCTTCTAAGGCATTGAGTTCAGTTACCTTGGTACTAAAGTTCTTTCTTAAAATGCTCGTTGTAGTACACTTGATGTTCTCTGTCTTTGCATTTTTCCAGTGCTTCCAGCTCTATTTCTAGCCTGACAGTGTACCCATTGTCTCAGTGTAACTCAGAAACTTTAAGGGCAGCAGAGGGAAAGATTAGTTTGTTCCATAAGTCCAAGTTTAGTGAAATACCTCAGAGCTTCTCACTCAGAATACTGAATGTGACTCTTGACTCTTCGCATTCTGTTTTCTATTCTAACATTCTAATACGGCTTTTTTTTTTTTTGAGCTCCATGTATATCAGAATTTCTTTTCTTTACCCAGGTGTGTACAAGGGGGTACTACTGCTATTCCTGGGGCCTTCGGCTGTGGGAAGACTGTAATCTCGCAGTCACTCTCAAAATACTCCAACAGCGATGTCATCATTTACGTAGGCTGTGGAGAGCGAGGAAATGAAATGTCGGAAGTACTGAGAGATTTCCCTGAGGTTAGTATGGAGAATTTCTAGGAAGTAAATTTTCCTAGAGGGGCTGGCTGTTGTAGTGCTATTGCTTCTGGTTAAATATCTTATTTGTGTAGTGATTTGAAACAATCTTTTTGGCTCCTTTGCTGTAAGTTTTGGGTGTAGTAGCAGAAATAACTTTTGGTTCATTCAAGAATGACTTAAGCAACATCTGGACTAGTATTTGAGTGTACCGCCTTGTTTTTAAGCAAAGCCAAAATAAATGCCTGTGCAATTTAGCAGTATTGCTGTTTGTTAGTAATGTCTGTAACTTTTTACCTTAACCAAGTGTAGCAAATGCATCATCTTTACTTATAGGATGCAGATCATCTTATAGAATGTAGAATAATGATGCAAACTACTACAGGACACCAGTTTTAAGTTGTAGGCTTTAAAATACCTAGTAAAAATGGTAAACCTGATTAATAATAAAGAAATGCAATAGGTTTTATCTGTAGCTATATGTTATTGAATTAGCATGGCAAAATTCTTTTATAAATCTAGAGAGAGAGCGTAGTCTGAACTGTTAGGTTCAAATTTCACTGTTAGATGTAAGTAAGATTTTAGATTAGATGTTTGATTATAAGAGTGTCAAGGTGGCTATGACAAATGTAAATCCAAGGATATTCTCAAATATTCTATACCAATATCAACATGTGCATTCTATTGTTCAGGTGCTTATGAGACTTCATCTTTGATAAGCAGACATGAAATGACATACATAACTCAGATGAACTCAGGTTCTGTGTTCCCCAATGAACTTAGGAGAAAAAGCTAAGATTTTTTTAATCTTAGAGCCTAGTGAATTTGTCCCATTGTTTCTGGTGGGAGATGGGGATAATAGGGACTGACAGTTGCAGCTAAAATCTTGAATCTAGTCACCGTTTTTTTTTAGACTAATTATGTAATTTTGAGGTGCGTCTTGGGGAATGAGAGCAAAACATTGACAAAGTTACCTTTTTTTTTTTTTTTTTTTTTAGCTGACAATGGAGGTTGATGGTAAGGTAGAAAGCATCATGAAGAGGACAGCTCTGGTAGCAAATACCTCCAACATGCCAGTGGCTGCCAGAGAGGCCTCTATCTATACTGGTAAGGTTTACAAGAGTCTCATAAAGGCTGTGTGAGTAGAGCATGCCAATATGCTCTAGTGCTTTTTAATTCTTGAGGTAGTGGGTGTGAGGAAACCTGCTTAGATTTGAAGAATTAGTGTTAAATATTGTCTATATGAAGTCCTAGTGTTGTAATTGAGTTTGACTCGCTTGTATGATTTTTAACTGTCAAGTTAATTCTTTTTTGTAAGTGAATTTATCACACTGTCTCATGTACTATGTCCTCATATTAATTATGTAAACTTTGATTCTTTGTGAATAGTTCGCTAACAAATACAACCTTTTAACAGATAGGAGCAACATTCCCTGAGTTGGCAGGCTAGCCGTTTTTCCTTTGCAGCTCATTAGAAGTTTTTAAATACTTTTGATAAAGAGTAATTTATGTAATAAATTTATGGTAATTTATGGCCTATGGTTGTATTCTGATCCCTTGAAAGGGAAGGAGACATTTTTACTATAAACAGAGGCTTTTATGTAAAGAATAGCATAAGTGACGTAGCCCTGTCACCTATAAGACTCCTAGTGGTTGTTAAACAGAAATGGGAGGAGAGAGAGTGAATTGGGAAGATCATGAAAATGAGAGTAAATCCAGAAGATCATGTAAATGATTTTGCAGATAAGATAGAACAGCTTTCAGTTGCTGTCTTTAGAATGTAAACTTAAACCTCTGCGAGTTAATTGACAGTACTGAGTGACAGTATATGAGTCTGGAATTCCTGTCTGAATTGTGTCCTGTGGTATGCTGCTGCTGCTGTTCTAGGAATCACATTGTCCGAGTATTTCCGGGACATGGGCTACCATGTCAGTATGATGGCAGATTCAACTTCCCGATGGGCTGAGGCCCTCAGAGAAATCTCAGGGCGATTGGCTGAAATGCCAGCTGGTGAGTAATGGGTGGTGGTGGTGGTTGTTTTGTTGTTGGGGAAGCAGAGGGGGAGGGAAGGGGAGAAGATCAACAAGGACATGAAGGGAGATGATGTTGTTTTGGGGGGGGGGGGGTTCCCCTTAGAATTTAATCTTGTGAGTTTAACTTTTAAATTCTGAATCTTTGACTCTGTTTCTTTGTTTTGGCACTTGCAGACAGTGGTTATCCAGCCTACCTTGGTGCCCGTCTGGCTTCTTTCTATGAGCGAGCTGGCAGAGTGAAGTGTCTCGGAAATCCCGAAAGGGAAGGCAGTGTCAGCATTGTGGGAGCGTGAGTGTTGCATTATCTTGTACTGCTGCTCTTTCTGCTCTTTCTGTGTGTTGTTTGTTTGTTTTTTAAGTACCTCTTTCGGGAGGGTTATGGGAAGGTCTTGTTGCTGTATCTGTGAATGAGTTGGTAGATGCTTTCTGTCTGTTCACTCTCAACTACTGCAAAAGTGTGCATATGGTAAGAAGGAATGAAAGTGGTCAGGTAGTTCTGTGAAGCATGGAATTTGTCACATGCAGTGATGGGAGCAAGTGGCTCAGAGAAAGCCATCACTAGTACTCTCACTGAAAAGTATGTCAAAGCGTGCTCAGTAGGAAAGAAGGGGCAGTTAGCAGAGCAGCTGTGTGCATATACTTGTGTGGAGATGTAATGAATTGTGCTTCACTTCTTTAAATTGAGTAGAATTAGTGGGACCAACATATCTCAAACTGGACTCAAGTAATGGACTATGAAGAGCATTATTTCCACAGACATATAATTTATGATGCATTGAAATATGTGAAATGTGAGAACTTGAAATATATTTGAAACATTCCTCTAGTGTTGACTATGATGACAGTTCTCACTAATTACTAAATTACAGCAAAAGGATTATAAAAAGAAAGGGAAAAATGCAGAGGATAAAAAATGAAGCAGATGCACTTGAAACTTTTTTAGGGGCATAGGAGAGAAAGTGAACCATGAACACCTTCAAGATCACCTAGAATCTCTTCTGAATTCTGCTTTGCACTATAGAGGCACAAAGCAGCTGCTTTTGAGGTTGAAAGATCTTTCTTTTGGGAGGCAGGAATGTATTAGGATGTCAAGCCTAAATAAACTTAAAGTGGTTATATAGATGAACATATGATATTTATCTGAAATAACAATTGGCCTGGCATACTGTTCACCATAAAAAAATCATTATGTTATGTTTTAAGTTCCACTATTAGCATGCTTACTGAACTTATTCTGATTGAGGTATGGTTTGATCGTCCAAGCCTGAGTTACTGTCTGGAGGAAAAGTGAAGTTTATCAGTAACTGACTGGCAGTATCAAGATAACTACATTGTTTGGCATGTTTGATGTATGCCTTGTGGATAGCTATCAAATCTTATGTGGGGGAGGGCTGTAATCTATTACTCGTTTGAATGGTGTTGGCTATTTTGGTTTCCACGATCACTAAGCTGTGTAGTCATGTTTTGGGTGTTTCAGCTTAAAGCTTATGAGTTTTTTTCCTGCTTAGTGTCTCTCCTCCAGGTGGTGACTTCTCTGATCCTGTCACATCTGCTACTTTGGGCATCGTTCAGGTATGTTCCTTTATGTTACTATCTGTCCACTTTTGATAGACTCAAAGTGGTTGTCCTCTAGTGTTTTAGTGCCAGTGGCTGTGGTGTGAGAGCTTTGATTTGACACAGGCAATTTTATAAAGTGCTTTTAAAAATGTTTTAACAGCATAAAAAATGACTTCATGAGATGGTCTTTGGACTGATATGTGTGAGACTCTTTTTGGAAGCAGTACCAATTCCTTCTGTGCTGGCTGCTCAAGAATGTTTGTGTGTCTCTCGATTCCTGCCTTCTAAACTGTACTTTCAATATGGTCACTTTCAGCTGGGATAGAAAGTGAACCAATCTAAACAGAAGCATTGAAACCATGAGCAAATCCTCTGAGCAGATGACTAGGAGAAGGGAATGTTGCAATTGATTTCCTATCCCCATTTTGGGAAAAGAAGTTCTATTTAACAGGCTCTCAGTTAATTAGATTCCAGTACTGATGTTATCTCTAGAAGTGCTGACTCCTTCATTATGAAGAATCTCAAGATGAAGAAACCATTTTCAACTTAAAATACATACTTTCTGAAAGCATATATTTGAAAGCTCTTGGTATAGTTAAGTTAGCATAAGGAAGAGTTCCCTTACACCCTTGGATTTTTGTCTGAAGACTTACGATAGCCTTTGTTCTGTTGTGCTTTCTTACATGTGCCATGCTGAATGTTGTACTGTCTTCAACTAATTATTCTGTATTGTTTCTGAGAGGAGGGACACTGTGTCATCTCTCTGGTTTCTCACAGGTTTTCTGGGGCCTGGATAAGAAGCTGGCACAACGCAAGCACTTTCCCTCTGTCAACTGGCTGATCAGCTACAGCAAATACACACGTGCTCTGGATGAGTACTATGACAAACATTTTACAGAGTTTGTGCCCCTCAGGACAAAGGCCAAAGAGATCTTACAGGAAGAAGAGGACCTTGCAGAGATTGTGCAGCTTGTGGGGAAGGTAAGCATCCAGGTTTGAGGAAATGTTGTGCCAGTGAGCTATCCTTCATTTCCTTATTGCTAGCATGAGCAGTGAGTCATGTCTTAGACCAGACCTGGGTGGATACTGTGCACACTTTTGACAGTAATATCTGCTGTGATGCTCAGCTCAGCTATGTTGGTCTTTAATATTAATGTGTGATAACATATGTTAACTACAGTGGTTTGGAGAAAGCTGGATCCTGGTGTTATTCCTGTTTGCTGGTGTTCTAGCCAAATGAAAATGGCTTGCAATATAATTCACTTAGCAGAACCCTCTTATTCTTACCTCTTGGAGGAAGAGGAAATGTGGTCTTAGCCTTCCATGGCTTATTTACCCCCAAAAAAGTGTATAAAAGACCAGTCTGTAGAGCAGAGTAGAATCAGTTGCTTGGTGTGAAATTCATGATTGAATTAAGCATTAACAGTAGTAAGCATTATTCTCACTGTAGAAGAACTAGAGTTGATGATCTTGTTCTCCAAGATTTTATATTTTAAGAGTTTCTTTTGATTAGACATTGGCTTTTAAGAATGACAAGCAAAAAAAAAAAAAAAAAGCCAACAAAAGAAACGCACATTTAGAAAGGATAAATTATGGGAGAACAATGTTATTTCTTTTTCTTAGTTCTGAATTCTGTCATAGTCTTCTGACAAAAGAAAGTCCAAAATTCCTGTCTAGTGAGCAAGCTGGGATGCTTAAAAAAGCCCTTTTTCTCTTTTATCAAAAGAAAAACATAAGTAGGTAAGAGTATTGCCAATTGTAGCAGTTGCAGTGTTGTGGCTTTTCTGTGCAATGTATAATTGTCATCAAACACATTTTATTAAATGCAGGACATACAATTCACTGCTAAATCTGGAGACCCAAATCAATAATATTACTAATAAAAATATTAAAATGTTGAAATCAGCTTTTCTTTTATAGATATAATGATTTGAGGAAGGAAAAACATAATTCTGTATATAAGATAATATTTTCATGTGCCTCATAGCAGAGCTGTGTGTGTTTCTCAGTGGTTCTCTTACACCTTGAATTAAAATTGCTTTTTCCCCCCTTGCTTAACATCAGATAGGGTAGACTGTTTGGCACCTATTAATCTTTCTGTTGAGTAAATGGGCAGCTATGTAGCCTTCTTATGGAAGCTATCTTAAGAGGGCAAGGGAAGAAGATGGTTGCTAATAAAGATAATGATTCTTGGCCAGGACACAGCATTGCCTTGCATACTGTAGTAACAATGTATTTGACTTTTGTAGGCTTCCTTGGCAGAAACAGATAAAATCACCTTAGAAGTTGCAAAGCTGATAAAAGATGACTTCTTGCAACAGAATGGTTATACGCCTTATGACAGGTGAGATCTAAATGGCGACTGTGCCTTCCAGTTCTTGTATATTCTGCATTTAGGCAGTTATCTTGGAAACAGCTTAGTGCAGAATTGGATTTTCCTTGCCTTAAGCTGAAGAACTGTGTGTAGATAGGGTATTGAACAGAGTGTTCAAGCTGTCCTATCAGCAGAGTGTGCTTTTCCTAATGCAGTTACTCTCCATTTTTCTGAGGTCCATTGGTACTACTCAGTTAGACAATGTTTCTGCAATATGAAATCTTTTAGAAAGAGGAGAGGAGGTGCATTTAATTACAGTTTTCTCAACACCCAAGATTGTCCCATTTATCCTAGCAATGAATAGGAGACTGCAAGAAACTGCTTTCAATCACTTTTGTGATTCTTGAACAATTTTTATGTCAGCAATTTGCTGGATCCTTTTCCCCCTACTGCTATGTTCATTATTTTTGCTTTGCTGCTTTCTATGCCATCTTTGTGTTTTAACAACATGCCAAGAGGCATTTTGAGTGACTCTACCACTTCCCTGGGCAGTCTGTTCCAGTCTTTCACCACTCTTTCTCTGGAGATTTTTTCCTGATATCTAATCTGAACTTAACCTGGCTCAACTTCCTCTTGTCCTATTCCATTTCCTCTCCAATTTCCTTTCCAGGCCATTTCCTCTTGTCTTATTGGCAGTTATTTTGGAGATCAACCCCTGCCTCACTGCAACTTCCAGGTAGTTGTAGAGAGCAATAAGGTCTCCCTGTGCCTCTCCTTCTCCTGATTAAGTAACGCAGTTCGCTCAGCTGTTCCTTGTAAGGTCTCTGCTCCAGCTCCTTCATCAGTTTTGTTGCCCTTCTTTGGACATGCTCCAGCACCTCAGTGTCTGTCTTGTAGTGAGGGGCCCAAAACTGAACACAGTGTTTGAGGTGCAGTCTCACCAGTGCTGAGTACTGGGGAATGATCACTTCCCTAGTTCCGCCATCTTCACTCTTCCTGATACAAGCCAGGATGCTGTTTGCCTTCTTCGCCCCTTGGGCATGCTGCCAGCTTATGTTCACCTGACTGTTGACCAACACAAGATGCCCTCAAGATGATCTGCTGCATAACTTTCCCTGACACTGAGGTCAGGCTGACAGGCCTGTAGTTCCCCATCAGATCCTTCTTTTAGATGAGTGTCACAACATAATGCCTTCTGAGGTCATCTGAGACCTGCCCGAGTGGCCAGGACCACTGATAGATGATGGAGAACAGTTTGGTCAGCTCTTCTACTATCTTCAGAATCCTTGGATGGATCCCATGTGGCCCCATAGACTTGTGGGTATCCAAGTGGAGTAGCAGGTCACTGACTAGTTCCCCCTAAATTATGGGGGTGGTTCTTCTGCTCTCTAGAGGTGTCTTCCACCTCTGGGGGCCAAGTACCTTGAGGATAATTGATCTGGGTGTTAAAAACTGAGGCAGAGAAGGCATCACGTACTTCAGCCTTATGCTCATTCTTGGTGGCAGTGTTCCCTGCTGCATCCAACACAGGATAGGTAGTGAATCCCTTATTTTCCTCCCCACCCCACCTTTTTTATTTTTTTTATTTTTTATTAATTATTCTTATTTCCTGAAGTCTCAACAATAGGTCCTTATTCAGTCTTCCCCTCTGGCTCATCTTTAAGCAGGTGGGGACAGCCTGCTCCTGTGCCTTTAAGATTTCCTTCCTGAGGAAAGTCGAGCCTTATGCAAAGAGAGCCTGCAACCACCACATCTCCCACCATTTCATCTCTGTAGGCGAAGAGCAGGTCCATCTCCCGGAAGGTTCTCTTACCAGCTCTGACAGGAAGTTGTCTTCCATATACTCCAGGAACCTCCTAGACTGTTTCCTCTCTGACATATTGTATTTCCAACAAACATCTGGTAGGTTCAAGTCCCCCATGAGAACAAGGGCTGCAGTTGGTAAGACTTTTGCCAGCTGCTTGTAGAATGCCACATCTGTCTCTTCATCCTGTTTGGGTGGTCTATAGCAGACTCCCACCAGGGTATCAGCCATGTTGGCTTTCCTGACTCATAAACATTCAGCTTTTGCAATAACTCTTGGAACTCCATGCAGTTGAAGCACTCCCTAATTCCTCCCTTTCCTGTGACCAAGGAAACTTACAGAGCTGCCATGTTCTTGCTAACTTCTTGGAGAAAGCCTATTCCCATAATGGTTGAAATAGAAAGAATCCTGTTAACAGGGCTGCTCTGGTGTTTCCTCTTTCTCATTAGCATTGATGCAGATTAACATGTGAAACTTGTGTAGTGATGGTTCCTGCTTTTTTTCCTGTTTTGTTCAGTGTTTGGGTGCTGTTTCAGAAACCTTACTTCAGGATGGTTATGCAAATGCATAGTATAGTATAGGTGCAATAGTGCACCTATTTAAAAAGGTAGGAACTAGTGCATCGCAAAGAAAATAAACTGCCACGATGAAAAATGCTTGGAGGAAAGTAGGTTTGCACTCTTTCAGGTGAAAATCCAGAGAGAGTTGGGACAAAAGCTAGTCCTGTTAACTGTTCCCAAATACCTGACAGCACCTCTCTTGTTTCATCAGATTCTGCCCTTTCTATAAAACAGTGGGAATGCTTTCCAATATGATTGCTTTTTACGACATGGCCCGCCGTGCTGTAGAAACTACAGCCCAGAGTGACAATAAGATCACATGGTCTATCATTCGAGAGAATATGAGTGAAATCCTCTACAGGCTCACGTCCATGAAATTCAAGGTATGTTTGTTTGTCAGAAGGGGCTGTCATTGTCTGCCTGCTCTAAGGATGGCCATATGAGAAAAGGGAGCTGGGTTTGAACTGCTTCTTAGGATCTCTTGATTCTTCTGTTAGGCAAAGGCTAAGACTAGGCAGTTAGGCAAAGGTAGTCATCAACCTCCTTAGGTAAAGGTCTATGAACAAAAACTTTTATCAATAATATGAACACATTTAAGAACTGGTTTTAGTTAGTGAGCATAGAAGAAGTTAGAACATCTACAAGGAGCTTTCCTGAAATCTAATTATGTGATGTTGGCTTCAGAGCTGTGGTAATCCCACCTTTACCAGTCTCTTTAGGTTATGTACATTTATGGTAATGGCACAAGCTTCTTGTTCAACTTTTGGGCTTTGTGTAGTGCTTGTGAATTATGGTACATTCTAAGAAGACTATATTAGCAGGTAGAAACTTAAAACCAGGGATACACTAAAAATGAATTGCAGAAGTGTTAATCTAGCAATTGCAAGTAAAAATTAAGGAAAGAAATGGTAAGTTTGCTGGAGCAATATGTAGTGCCCCCAGTGGTTAGCTTTACACATAAGGCAGGTTAACTAGGAAGAGAAACAATTTCATCATAGGCTAAAGAGTGACCAAGCTACTCGGAGCAACTGTGCTGGGTAGTGGCAGCATAATAGAGTACAGTTTTCCTGCTCCTCCTCTTAAAACTTACCCTAAGTATGTCAGCCCAGCAGTTATTTTGCAGAACAGTAACTTCTGATGCTGTCTGATGTTAAAGTAGCTTTTTTAAAAAAATAAAAAAAAAAAATGCAAAGTATGAGGCTCTTTCTCTTAATTAGGCCAATATTGCAAATCTTTCAAGTATCATGAGACAGTTACACTGACATACCTGCACGTTGGTAGTTTAAAGAGTATCCCACTCTTGCAGTGTACTTACTGCATGTTAAGCAGATCCCTGGTATATTCTCAAAGCATCAGGAGCATGACAAGCTACACATACAGTTAGACATGGGAGCTTCTTTGAGAGCTGGTTATGTAGACAGAGGTGAAGTAAAAGGTTTTCAACAAACCGTAGCTACCAGAAGACATCCAGTATAGAGCAGAGTAGTGGACAGCATGACTGAAAACAGGATCTAAAAGATGAATACATGTTAAGTGAAGAAAGCCCCTAATACAGTAATAATTATGAAAGTTTTGTTTTCTGGATATAATATAAAGAAAAGGGCATAGGAATTTAAATGGCCTGACTCTTGTGGTCTATCTGTTTTGGAAGGACAGTGAGGAGGTAGTGCAGTCTAGGCACCTCTCTGTTTCTATGAGGGAAATAGTGAAGAAGTTGATCAGATTTCATAGCTTGACCACTGTTGCTTTTCCCAGGGAAAGCAGAGAGAGAATTATACCTGCTTTGCAGTTAGCAGGGGTGAATCCTAAGGACAAGAAGTTACAGCACTAGCCAAGCAGCATTAAGTAAATGAGTTTTTTTCAAGCCTGATCCGTTCATTTGCTGTGTTGCTTTTCAGGACCCTGTCAAAGACGGTGAAGCAAAAATCAAGGCAGACTATGCTCAGCTGTTTGAGGATATGCAGAATGCATTTCGCAGTCTGGAAGACTAGACTCTGCCTCTCTGACCACTCCAGTTTGTCCTCTGAATTTTTCATCTCAACTCCTCAGCTTCCCTACCTTGCCGGAGTGATGCAACAGTACTTGAGTTAAAATAGTCCTATGTTTCCCTGATCATACTTCTTGTCTTTACAAAACATTCCTTTTAGTTTGTGTTTGGCCTTGCTTCATGTGTCTGAAATGGTGAGTGAAGTGTGAATGAGCCTGGCTGAATGTTGTATGCTTCTAGGGTGGGAAACACTTCACCTTGCCCTCTCTTGGTGATGAGGCTCTTACCTTGAAAAGAAAACAGTTCAGCTGTACTGGCAGAGGAGATATAGGCTTTAATGCAGTCATGCAGTACACTTTGAGCTGGTGAGAGTAAGGGCATTTAGGTCTAGCACTTTTGCTAAGTGACTATCATGACTTAAACTCTCTATTCCTCAACTTTTTTTTTACCATATTTTATGATGTGTGGGTATAAGCAAAAGTAACATAAATTTCTCACTACACTGTCCCTTCCACAACTTCAGGTTGAGGTTGTTGGTGTTATAATGTGGTAGTTCTGGATTATGAACAAGAAGAGACTCACTAGAAGATGAGCATACAAGCAGCCAGTATGCTTCTGTATGCTGCAGAAACAGAATTTTATTTTCCTACTTTATAATTAGATAGGACTCTTGGACTCTGCAACAGCTAAAATGAAAACCATAGCTGCTCAGCTTTCAGCAGACTTTGTTTCCTTCTTTACCTCCAATTTGCCACATAAAATTTCATGTCGGCCACTTTAGTATGTGAAGTTCGTTACAGCTGCTCTATACTACAGGACATAAGAAGCTGTGGTAATTCCCCTTAACGTGGACCAGGAATAAGGTCCTAAATGATGGTGATGATTGTTTACCAATACACTTGCCTTCCTATGTGATGTCCTTTTTCAAAAAGGATGCACGTGCTTAACCCTTCTCCTCTACCATACTAGCATACACAACTTGTCTGGCTGTGGCCACAACATGCCTTCAGTCCTTGTATACAAGGAATGTATGATGCTAAATTGCTGCAGAAGGGGAGGAGAAGACTGAGGAGTACAGAATGGATTTACTTTTCACTTGTCGGTTGTGATACCAGGGGACCTCCTGCACTGTGCTCCAGAAGCACTGTTAGGCACCAGCACCTGTTTTTTGTTGGGAATGTTTATTGGCAAAACTAGTATGAGATGAGGAATAAGCATAGAGCAGCTTTTCTGTCAAACTTTAAGAGCCAGCAATCATCACTGCTGCATAAGGATAGAGATTAAAGGTGTTGGTATCCTACCCAGTCTTTGATTTGACTCTCACTTGTGTTTCAGATGACATTTAATGTTTTTGTCATGCATTCTTTCTTCAGCTTGGTTCCAGCTGACATCTATTAAATTGTTATGGTCATGAAACAGAAACTGTTGTAGATGATACTGTTGTAGTGGCATGGTTACACAAGTGTTAATTCTGCATTGAAGTATTTCCACTGAGCTGCCCGCTTTGAACAGTAATGTTGCAACAGGCTCTCTAAACTCTGGACCACAATCAACTCACTATCAGAAAGAGCTCCATTGAAATGTTAACTTATTGAATATTTTTGGTTCTCTCCATCGAGATGTGACTACTCCAGCTAATATTCTGGTAGTGAATGATTCAGTTTACAGTTCACAAAACTTTCAGTGTATGCTGCTTTAACGATGATCATGTGTGAATGAGTAGTCATCATTAAAGTCCTTGATGGATTTCTCATTGTTCAAACCTTTCACCACTGCACTATGTAGCATTTCATGCTAGAAGACAGATGTTCCTATTTCTTTAAATAGAGAATGTTATAAACTTTACATCTATAAGATAATGCAGTTATAATATTTATTGTGCTGTATCTGACCCTGAAGTGTGACCAGTTCAAACAGGTTTTTTTTTTTTTTTTTTATTGTTTCTGTTTTGTGTCTCAGTTTTCAGTGTTCAGATTCTAATGTTCTGATATTCACTGTGTTTTGCAAGTCTTCCCCCCGACTGCTGGGAGGTAGGATGATAAGAAAGCAGAACCCAGATACCTACTCTACCTTGTATATTTCATAATATATGTTGCTGGAAGTTGTGTTTAAAAAACAAGAAAAAAAGAAAATAAAATGGATTTAAAATAGGTCTCAGCTATCCTATTGTCCTAAGTCAAACTACAGCATGGGAGAAGCAAAGCTTTTAACTTTCTTCGAATCTTTCTTTGTAAGTTTTGAGACTTTTTTTTTAAGGATTTAATAAGGATCTTTTACCTGAGTTACCCCCTTCTTGAACAGCTTACATAGTTCCCTCAGACAGTAAATGGAAGAGTTGTATTAACAGTTATAGATAACAGTTAATAAATGTTCTTGAGGTAGACTTTTAGAATTAATTTTATTGTACTAAAAATATAACTTTTGTTTCACTTGTGGTTCCTATGCCTGGTAATAGTAACATTACAACAATTGTATTTATATCTCCTTCTGCCACTTAACGAAGTTTTAAAGTATTTCCCCAAAAAGTACATAATGCTGTGGCATATAGCTCCTAAAATCCCCATTGAGTATTTTATGTTTTGAATTTCTGTATCAGAAGATTACTGCTGTCCATATCCTGAAACTGACTATAGGCAATATCTCTTTAAAACACAGGTATGCAGCCTTCTGTCAATAGCAGTATATTACCAAGTTCAGCCATTTTGGTATACTGTGTAACGTCCCTTAGAAGGAAGTATTTTGTTATTGTGTTGGTATACACACACACACACACACACACTAAGAGATACAGAGGTAACATAAAGCAGATGTTCGAATAATTCCATTACATTGCAAGAGAGGGAAGTTTGAAATTCAGTCTTGGCAAACAGACTGCCCTCCACTCTGCAGGCAGCAGCATTCTGTGGACATTGAAGAAATCCACTAAGGGAAGCCCTGAGGTCAGACTTTGGCAGCTTTGAAGTTGCAAAGGGGTAATGTTTTTACTTCATCCACTCTGCTTTTGTGGATCTGGAAGGCAGGAGTCACCCAGCGGCCACAAGAACACTGCTCCCCCTGCCAGCTGAAGGAGCCTAGCTTCGACGTGCATTTGGGACACAGGAGCTGCAGGAAAGACAAATGACCCATTCTAAAGCCTGTTCAATACAGTCCAACTTTAAATGTAGTTCTATAGTAACCTTAGCTCAATCACCTCCTTCCTTTTATTGTTGCTACAAGTTAAACAGGCTAACAGCCAAAAAGCTAAAGAGGCATGGTTGGTATCGATCATGCCTTGGAGTATGACAAGCAACTAAGCTGACAGATAGGAAGGCAACTGGTCATACTGTGTGTAGTTCCAGGGCAGTTTAACCATTCTATTAGAGCCTCAGTCATCCTGAGACCACAACAGGTTTTGAGAGTCCCAAAAACTTCAGTAGCAAAAGAAAAGCTGACACAGAAAACCCCACCCAACATTCCTGATAGCCCTCTTGGCCCAACAAGATTACTGACTCTTTTTGCTATAGATTCTCAAATGCTAAATGATTTAACTAGAAGCTGCAACATTGTGTCAGCTAAGGCTGGAAGACCTGGGACATTGTGTATGGGAGCCATCATATCACAGACCCATAAACAGTTCGTTCTGCATTGACAAAACTCATCCAGAAAGCTGAAGTGCTTGCTCCCCTTCACCTGTCCTTCCATGACTCCCAGGAGTATGGGCTCCATCCACTCTACAGGCTCAATGAAGTAAGAGGTACATTTATCACAGCCATGCTTATGAAGCTGAGTTGAATCTGTTATCCTCTTGTGAGCGAAGGCTGTTGGTCCACTTCCTTCGATGTGGGACAAAATGCTGGAACTACGGAATAGAGAGCGTCTGTCCTCCAGGACAGAAGGCAGGGGAAATGAGTATTTATTTATTTTTACTGGGGAAATCAGACTATAATAGATCATGGGGACATGGACCTCTTGGCAGTAAATAAAAGGGATTTTACACTTTAAAAAAAAAATTGATCTAAAAGATCAACATGCACTGATCCAATTTAGGGCTGCTACTTAACAAATGCATAACTTTGGGCTGTTCCACAGTTATATGTCATATATAGTTGTTATATAAAGTGGTTTATATTTTCAGACAAGTCACACCTATAGAAAAAATAAACTGAGCTCATTTTTACAAAAAATATCCCTATACCGAGGGAAGAAGATTTTTCAATTTCATTTTACATGATCCATGAAAGGCAGTTAAAACATAATAAAATAGAATGTCTATAGCAACTTTCAAGCAAGAGCAAGCAACTTCATAGGGCCAAGCAGAATTACAACTGATTATATAATCTAGCATCTTAGGCTCCACAACGGCTGCAAAAGTGCAAAACTGAAGAGAAAAAAAAAAAAAAGGCTTTGTTTCACAGAATATATTTGTCTAATTTCTGTTACACACCATATAGAGACACTATATAGAGACATACAGGGCCTCTAGAAATCATCTAGTCCAACCACACTGTGCAAGAGGGGACACCTAAAGCACATGGCACAGGAATGCATGCAGCCAGGTCTGGAAGATCTCCAGAGTAGATTCTCCACAGTGCTCTGTCATCTTAAGAGTATAGAAGTTTTTCCTCATAGGGAGAGGAAATAGAGATCTCTATCTTTAAGATAATGATATTCCCATAGAGTCACATGGCCTATTTTTTTTCTCTCAAGACTTTACTTCAAAATTACTTTAATGGGGAATATAAAACATTCAAGTACCTGCATTTTCTGCATCTGTAGAGAGCCTCTGTGTTTGAAGTTTGACATATACTGGTTGGATCAGCAGCAAAGACCTCTCGGGGCAACTCTTGAAGCTCTGCAGAAAGAACAGTAACAAGTTGTAAATCAGACATAAACCCGTGATCCACTTATGAGGAACAAGGCAAGCACTGTGCCTTTGCCTTATTACTATTATTACTAATTTTCAGGGAAATGTGGCCCCTTATTATGACTACACACAGCCCTCCTCCAACATGCCAGACACCAGATGTCTTCCTGAAGTACATGCAATTAAAACATTCACATGATATTTGTGAACACTTAGTGACCAAGAACAAAAGTACACAGATAAACAGCAACAATGGTGCAATACAGCACATAGTTCCCAAGATGATCTGAAGTAACTGCAGGAGGCAGGTCCTGAGGTGCCCGGTGCTGTCTACAAGGGCCTAGAGACATGCGGGCTGATCAAAGCAGGCCCAGGGGCATCCCACTAGCCATCCCCAGGCACTAGCCATCCACAGGATGGCTCCTGGAAGTTTATAGCCCACTTTTGGGCACTCACTGAAGTGCCGAATGAGTGGCGAGAGGCAAGGCACCCCTGACACCCCACTCAGTACTGAGCCTTGGCTTAATACTCCTCGCCCGGGCAGCAGTACTCACCGGGATACTTCTCCGTGACCACCTGCAGGCGATACCGCTTGTAAAGGGGGCTGCTCACATCCACGGAGCAGCCCATGGCCTCGTAGAGCTGCAACTGCGCCTCGAAGCCCGAGTTCACCCTGCAGCCGGGGGAGAGCAGGGGGCGAGTGAGGGCCGCGGGAGGAGGCCCGGAGCCCGCGGCTGCCCCCCGCCCCGGGCACCCACCCGACATCGGGTTTGGCGGCCCTAAGGGCGGCGTAGGCCTCTTCCCAGGGCAGCCCCTCGCTCTTCATGAGGTAGGCGGTCGCCACTGCGGCGCTGCGGCTCACCCCGGCGGCACTGCAAGGCAAAGCGGGACTATGAGCGGGCTGAACGAGACCGCACTGGGCTGGACCGGGCGCCGCCGCTCACCAGCACACGAGAGCGGCGCCGCCGGCGGCCCGCGCGGCACCGAGGAAGGCAGCGCAGGCGTCGAAGCGGCTTAGCAGATCGGCGCCAGGTTCGTCCCGCGCCCGCACGTGCATGGCCCGCAGTCCCGCCGGCGGCGGCGGCGCCTCCTCCTCGGCGCCCACCGTGAGCACTGCCACCACCCCTGCCGCCGCCAGCGCCTCAGGCGACGAACAGCACTCAGCACCGCCCACGTACAGTCCCGGCAGCACCGCCACCATCCCGCCGCCCTGCCCGCCCGCCATGATAGCGGGCACGCCGCGAGGGAAGGATGCCGCCTCCAACAGGGCGCGCTTCCGGCGCGGCGGGCGCCGCCGCTCCCAGCATGGCGGCGCTGCGCGGCGGGCGCCGCCGTCCGGGCCCGGCTGGAAGCTTCCGCGGCGGCGCGAGAGGCCGCGGGCGTCGCTGGGAGCCGCGGCGGGAAGGGAGGCGCAGCGGGCCGGGCCAGGCTGCACCGGGAAGCTAAAAGCCATTTTTTAAAAAAATTTTGTATTTCTTTTTAATTATTAAACATATGTTTAGCAAAGGGGCTGGAGAGAGAGCAGTAAACTGGCCATATGGTCCAGTGCTGCTGGCTTCTCTTGTGGTATAACAGGACTCACAGATAGCCTAGTTCTCCTAGTCAGAAAGATCATAAAAGTATGACATGTGGCAGTCTTACACCTACTTGTAATGAACAAATGTTCAAGAACAAATGAAGAAGGCATGTAGCTTCCAATATGCTATTCTTTAAATCTCTTCTAAATTAATCATGTATTTCTGAGGTCTTTTGTGTATTTTGCATTGGCAGTATTTTACTTTGGAGATGAACTATCTAAAAAAGCTTGAAACTCCTCTCAGACTAATGAGTGGGGCTTCTTTTAGATTTTTTAATCTAGTAACTTAGCTGCACAGAATCTGTAGTGTGACCTCCGCTGTGGATCACAGTATGCAAATAGGTGGGAGTTGAGTGCCCTTACCACTGGAAAGCCCAGCACTGAAATATTTTTATTGGGTTTTTGCCATCCTTACACTTCTAAGTAGTAAACAAACAGTATGATAACAAATGGAGGCCAAGAGGAGTTTTCATCTGGAAAACGAGAAGAAGCTAAGCAACACCAGCTTTCATTTTTGTTCGCGAAGTGCTGGCATAGAGATTCATACAGGACAGTAGAGCTTTGAGGAAGTTTCATTTACTGTGCGATACCTGGCTGCTTTGTAGGAGAGTTACTGAGCAGAAGCTTCTACTGAGCCAGGTTTTTCTGCAGGAAATCAGCCCCCCAGGAGAATCTGGGAAATTAACTCAGCTTGCTTCTAAGGTCTATTGCATGACCACAGCCATGTAAGTGGGAGTGAAATTAACATGCAGAATAAAGATAAGAGCAGTTAACTTTAATCTAGACTGAGTCCTCCCATTCAGGACTTAAACTGTGTTTTTTCAGTGTCATAAATTTTGCATTCCTTTAAAACTTTTTCATCATTCATGTTATGGACATGTTTTAACGTTATGGTCACATTAAACCATGTGTAACTGAAAATACTGATGGAGAGAAGCAACAGTCAGAGCTCAAAGATGCCAAAGATGCCAAAGGTGGCTGCTTCTTGAGGGAGCTGATGCTCCCTAGTTGTAATGTGATTACTATGCTCCTCCTGTTCATCCTTACAGATTTCTATATCCGTAGAAATACAGGTGCTGATAGAAAAGAAAGCTGTTACTTCAAAAGGAAAATATATGGTGAGGAATAGCACAGAATCCATGGGGCAGAGCCCATGGGCAGCTCCCTACATAAGTGCTTCGCATGACTGAGGCTGTACTCCCTAAGCTACTTTACTGATTCTTTGTACTTCCTTTTACAGTGTTTGCCACCTGCATCTTGAGCATATGGTTACATAGCCTGAATTTGCTTACAACTCCCAAAATAGAACATTTTTGTTGTTTTTGTTTGTTTCAGTTTCATTTGCAAACACCACTCCCCAGCCTCCACCTTCCCCCTTCAGCCTTTGTCTTCTCCTATATCACTTAAATTTCTAGTGATTTCTTCTCCTCTGGGTTCCAGGAAACTGTGTGTGACTAATTAAGCTCAGGTGCAAGGAAAAACAAATCAGATGACAGACTGCTGCCCACTCACTCCAGTAAGTGCATTCCATCTCAGCATGCTTTACAGGGGACAGCTGGAACGGAAGAAATCTCAACAACTGTAGTTTCTAACAGAAAAGAAAATGTTGGCCTTCCTTGAGTTTTCCACTATAGAAATTCACAGCATGACTGAATCAGCAAAACAATCTCTTGCTGCAGAAGCAGAGGTGCTGTGAAACCCCTCTGTTGTGCCCCAGTTGAACAGAAGTATTTTTTCCTGTTGGAATTATTTGGTCTGCATACATTGCTATACATTTGAGTAGTTCTGTTCATTCAGGCTTTTAAGCACTTTAAAGTGTGCACATAAGACAGTTGATGAGAGATAGTCTGTAGCTTACAGCCCCAGTTGCCATAAGCAGCACTCTGTAGAACTGTGGAAGGGCCAACAGGTGGGGAGCATCTTAAAAAAGACATTTATGGGAGTCAGTGACTCTGAGTTTCTGTCTCCTCCTCAGATATAAATATACCAGGAGCTTGGGGCTCTCACTTTGCACAGATCTTTCTGGTGATGAGGACTGTATCATTTTTTTCGCTTCTTGGAGAAGTAGCGTCTCTCAACCCTGGTGGGATGAGAATATGATGGGAGCTGAAAACCCCTATGTGGGAGCATCTCCTCCCTTGCAGCAGCATCTTCCAGCTGCTGTTGTGCTTCTAGAAACAATAATCTCTAGTCTGTGAAAGACAACTATTCTTTGCATTAGTGCCCTTTGTAGGTCTATCCTAGGCTTTGCATTTCTATTTTTATCCATATAACAGGAGAAGAATGTCTGCATCTCTTTACAGGAAGCCTGAAAGACTTATAAAGGCTAAGACTGGAGCTTACTTTAGATACTGTGAAGGAGAATTTCACAGTAACCTAATGTGGATGGAACTTTCCCGCTTGCCTTGATGCTCTCAGTATATGCAGACATGCAATTACTCCATATGTCTAACTAAAAAAAGAGAGTTTCCCAACTACAAATTTGATGCTTCATGACAGCTGTTACTAGGATGCATTAATAATTCTACTTTATGACTTTTAACTGTTGTAGTAACCTGGATTTATAATGACACATGATGTTCAGCACCACATCATGTAAGGCAAGTAATATAATACTGCCAGGTGACTGAGCTGACCTACAAAGTTTTATCTCTTTGTCTTCGGCCAAATTTGCTGCCCTGTTTACTGTATTAAATTGAACAGGTTGCACTGTGCTTGTAGAATGGTTACCAGCCTCTATTTTGGCACTTCCTGAACATTTTTTTTCCCTGTCACCTGACCATTCTGTAATACATTTGGTGGACCTTCCTTCCTCATCCTTTCTCTGATACTGTTTAAAGCAGTTCAAGCAAAATGCATTCTGAAGAGGACTATACCACAAGATAGCTACCGGAAGTGGAGGAAGGAACGTATCTTGGAGAAAGTGACGGAATGTGTAGTGTTGCCAGCAGGTTGAGGGAGGGGATCCTGCCCCTCTACTCAGCTCTGGTGAGGCTGCACCTCAAGTACTGTGTGCAGTTCTGGGTGATGTGGAGCTTCTAGAGATGGTCCAGTGGAGAGCCATAAAGATGATGAAGAGAATGGAGCATCTATCATACAAGGAAAGACTGGGTGAGTTGGGCCTGTTTTACCTGGAGAAGAGAAGGTTGAGATGGGTGTTGATACCTCTGATCAACATGTACAAGTACCTGAGGGGATATGCGTGTGCCATGTGCTTTAGGTTTCCCTGCTGGAGTTGGACTAGATGATCTCTAGAGGTCCCTTCCAAACTTAACCATTCTGTGATTCTCTGAATCATAGACAGTAATGAGGTTGTGGGAGAAGGAGAGGATAATACTCCAGGAGGAAAGGGAGACCATGGCTGCTGCATCTCACTGCCTCTCAGTGGTAATATGCCTATTCCACAGTCCTTGAAGGAAGGATAGAGTGCAAAGATTGGGGTCATCTCCTGTAACTTCTATGTAAGTTCTCTATAACTCACAGCATGAAAGTCAATACTGAAGAAACAGAAATAGAAACGTTAAGACTGTAACCTAGAGCTGGTTCTAGGCTCCCCTTGGAGCACTCAGCAGCCACAGCCCTCATGCAATGTCCCACGCTCGCTCATATCTTGTCTTACTGGGGGCTGTGTTTCCATGCCAGCTTAGACACGCAGTGCAGTCACCTACCTCAGAGGCACAGGTGCCTGAATCACAGGTTCTGAGGCAAATGGACTCCATCTCTTAGATACTCATCGCTCAAAGATGCATTCCAGACTGCTCCTGCAAGCTGCGCAGGAGCCTGGCCCAGCAGTCTTTTTGTGGCTCTTGAAAACTCCAGATCCCACTGGCTACTTCTATGGGACTAATGAAAAGTCATTACAAAGAATGAAGGAGGTTTAGCCAGGGGGTTTAACTGCACTAGAAAGAGTACTGCACTGCCACTGAAAAAAAATAGCCAAGGCCTGCAAATATAGGTAAAAAAGAAGGCAGAAAATCTCATGTATTCAGTCTTTAAGACTTAACCAGGATGCCTGTTTTTGTATATATTTCTGTGAAACAAGTGTTTGTAAATGAATAGCATAAAGTAGGAACCTTTTATTAATATTTTAACATCTGCAATATTTGTATATGATGCAGTTTAACCTTTATTAGTCTGTAATGAATATTATAAACAAAATATTTTTCAATGTGTACCTTAATTGCTGTTAGTCCATAAGGCAACAGAAAATACACTATGCAAAATTATTACCATAAGACTGTAACATGAGGCAGAAGTAATGCTGAAGAAATATGCCTGAAGTGGGAGACTGGTTAGTGTGTCAACCTCTCAGTCGGAACTTCTGTTTACTTGTGGCTATGCCTCCTTAATTTCTGTGGTTACTTCTTTCTGAGTTCCCTGTTTTTCTGTCTTGCTTTCGAATCATTGGGGAAAAAAAAAAGGTTGATGTAGACATTCTGGATCCTCATGGCTAGCTCTGTAGTGTCACAATTACATATTTTTTTATTTAGCTACATCTTAAAGCTGTTTTGTTTTATCCCTCTCTTTCCCCACCCCTAAATCATTTAATTTAAATAGCAAGTTCTCTTTTCCTGCCATTTATGCCAACAATGGACTTGCTGGGGAAACAAACAATCCCCCCACCCCGCACAGTTTTTGTTTTGATGGTGAAGCAAGATAAGTTTGTTTCTGCTTCCTTAGAAGAGAGGAGCTGTTCAGTTTCCCCTTTACAAGGTCAATTCTTCCCTGGGTGTGTTCAGGTTTGAATATATCTTTTCTGAGTGTGTATGACCAAACAGTGTTCCAGAGGTGCTTTTTTTTCTTAATGATTTATAAATACTTCTTTATATTTATATTTGTTTGGAAGGAGGATTTCGCCCTTGACGTCCAAATTCAGCGCACCTTCCCGGCCGCCTCCCTGCCCCGCGCCAGGGAGCCCTGCGAGCCGCCGCGGGCGCCGGGAGCCGCCGCGGGCGCAGTCCGCAGGAACTCCCCTTGGCACGGGGCGCCCCGGAACGCCCCGTTCCGGGCTGGGCTCCTCCTGCCGCCGCTATTGGCGCGGGGGAAAGGGGCAGCGGGCAGGGCCTTTACGAGCAGCGCGGGGAGGAGGGGCGTGCGGGCGGCCGTTGCGGTTTCCACTGTCCCCGTCCCGCCTCCTTTAGTGCCCACCGCCTTTAGGGCTCTGCAAGGAGGGGAACAGGGAGGGACAGGGGCTGCCGAGGAGCCGCGCAGTAGCGGCGGTTACTAGCGGTGCCGCCCCGCGTCGCCCGTTAGTCGGCGGCGGTTACCTAGGCGGTTACCTCCGGGGGAGCAGGGCGGAGGGGCGGGGCCGGCAGGAGCGGGCGGGGCCGGCTCGCGGGCGGCGATAAAAGGACCGTTAAGGGGGTGGGGAAGGCGTGCGCGTGCGGCTGGCGCGGTCGGCCCGGGCTGTGCGGCTGAGCTAACCGGTGAGCGGCGCGCGGTCCTTCGTGGCCCCGGCCCGCCCTCGCGGGGATGGGCAGAGCTCTGCGGTGGCCGCCGCGCGGCGCTGCTTGGCGGGGGCCGCGGGTGAGCAGCGAGGCCGGAGCTCTTTCTGGGCACGGGTTTTGGCCCCACGGGAAAGCTGCTCCGGGAGGCAGGTCCGGAGGTGACGGGCCAAGGGTTAGCTGAGCTGGCTTGCCGTGCTGGAGTAGGGGTTGTTAATGAAAGTGCGTTCAAGGTGTACACTCTTGTAAAGGGAGGAAAAAATTGCTTGGAAGTGAGTAATGTGACTCAAAGGAGTAGGTAAGTGAGGGCTTTCTCTCTGGATACAGTAGATATAGTGGATACAGTCTACCCTGTGCCTCAGGGAACAGAACTAATCGTGAAAACATGTATTTAAAAGTTCTGTTAAGTTCTGTTTATTTAGTAGCAGATACGCTCTTTGCTGGGATCATGTACTTAGCATCTGGTTTGTAAGTTAATCTTTCCTTTAGTAGAGTGGATGAGAGGTGCTGCTGTGAGACCACTGGCGTGGAGCATTGCATTTAATTTGGAAATGCGCCTTGAGGGCTTGTATGTAATGTAAATACTGTAAACTCTAATGGTGTAGTGATTGCGAGTTGGTGCTTTTAACTACCTAATGTGCTGACTGAAACTTGCCACTGATAGTACAGCAAAGCCCCCTTGGCTCTTAAGAGAAAGCATTTTTTTAAATGATACTAAGTCTCCCTGTCCTTCAATACACTGACTTAAATTCAACAAGTATGTAATACTGTACTGCAATAGAGTAATATTTGCTGCAGGTACGGTCGTCTAAACTTATTAGGAGTTGACAAATTGTATCTTGTAGGAAAGCAAGCTTTACCAAAGGGTAGTGGTCATGGCAAAGGCTGCTGAAGTTATCCTCTCTTTTTCTGCCTGTGATTTGTGTATTTTACATGCAGCATGAGGCTGCAGTGCTCTTAGTACTGTTGAGAGTCGATAGTAGAAATAGGTAGTCCTTACCTTGCCTGCAAAACTGATTTCTTTTGAATGGATAAACATCTGCAAGTAACGAATCTTTGGTTACTGGAAACTGTTATAAGGCACGACATGGGAGGTATGCAGATGTCCCAAATGCACTGAATTCTTTTTTTTTTCCCTTTTTCTGTCAGAAACTTAACCTTTGCAGAGTATATAAAGCATTTTAGTAATGTGGGGGTGAGAAGTTTCCTAGACTGGCAGTGTCTTGTATTGAACTGTAGCACCTGAAATATCTCCCTAGAAGATGCTGCTGAGGGCAGCAGCACACATTCTGTTTCCTACAGGGAGCAGAGCTAAGTCTGAGGTGGGAAAAGCTGTTTGAGCAGCTCTGTAGTTGCTTGGTGGCCTTAGCTGCTAAGATATCTGCAAAAGAGAAGGAAGGGGGGGAGCACTTTGAAATGGAGTAACTGAGAGCACTTGCTGCTTAAGCCAAATATTGTGGAAGAATTGCACATCCTTCTTTAGTGACCTGCAGGGCTGAAGAGTTTGAAAACACGGTGCTAACCAAACAAAATAAGTTAATGTGCTCAAAGTACTTTTAGGCAACTACCAACAGGCTTGATATATAGCTTCAGAATTGGAAGTTTTGAGTTAGAATCTCTTAGGTTGTCCTGAGCTGATTAATTTATAAATCACAGGTTTGCTTCATTCCTATTGAAGCTGATGTGACTTTTGTTATGAGTGGCAATAATGTGATAGAACAGCTTCTGTTCAAGGATAGAGATTGCTTCATAAGGAACACTTAATCTTATTACATATCCGACTTATGATTTGACTAGCCTCTGTGGAAAAGATGACAAGTCAAAAGAGCTGTTGACAAATTAAAAACTGGAAAAAGGCAGGCATGAAATATGATAGTAGCAGCTCTGTCTTGCTTAAAATACTCGATGCTCTAGGTTAATGTCCAAAATGAAGATGTGGTTGGAATTTGAATAATTCAAACCCCTAATGATAGGCGAGAGTTAATGATCTAAAGTTTGCATAGCTTGTCCTTGGCAACTGTACATGCAGTCCTTCCTAGTACTTGAAGCAGAAGGTGAGGTCCCTATTAGTCTGCAGCTGTCAAAAAGCACCTGGTCACAACAGAAACCTGGAATGCTTAAAAAAGAACAAGTGTATTAATAGTGGCTTGGCTTACATGATTGTAGAACGTATTAAGTACATACTCCAAAAGATAAGCCACTTAAGCACAAGTCAGGGATCAGTTCAACCACAGCAAAGTTACTTAGTCCAGAAGTTTAGAAGAGAAGAGGCTGTGGTGGTCTGATCACTGATGTTTTTAACCTACCAAAGATTAAAATATAAAGCAACTGGAGTAGAATGTGATTGAATGGTTGTATGGTTGTACCTGTTAGCTGACTTTATAGCTGAAACATCATCCAGGATGCTGAAATGCTCTAGTTTATTTGTAGGATCAGGGTAAACTTAGCATTTGAATTTGAAACATCTACTTTTAGTATGGGAAAAAAAAATTGTGTGAGAAGGAAGAAGTGTTTATGGTATGGTAAAAGTGTTTAAGTGGATTAGATGCTTCTAATCTCCAAAATTTACTTTTGAATATCTTCAGGTGCCATGTTAGTTGGGGATAGTTTGGACTTCAAATATAAGAAACAGTTTTAACCCTCAGAAACCCTCAGAAGTGCTCTGTGTTTGCAATTCTCACTGGCTTCAGCGGATATTGTAGATGCCCTTGAAACTTCGGGCAAAGCTAATGTATCATCTTCATTGAGACTTTCATTTTTAAACAAAAGCAAGGCTGCAGAGCTTAAGCTTATCTCAAAAAGACATGACTAAATCCTGTGCAAGCAAAACTAGATAGGAAAAAGGCTTACTGGTGAGAATTAGCTTGTAGAATTTTCTTTCTGATTTTCTATATATGTAGACAGAACTGCAGAACATAGCATGTATATCCAGGAAGCTTAAATATAAGGTCTGACTTGTTTTTTTTCCTCTTCCCTACAGTTTCTTTGGAGAAGAAAAGCCTTATAATGGCAGGCAAAGGAAGTAATACAGACTGCATGTCATGCAGTGTTCTGAACTGGGAGCAGGTCAGCCGCTTGCATGAGACTCTTACAGAGGTGGTTCCAATCCATGGACGAGGTAACTTCCCAACACTGAAGATAACTCTGAAGGACATTGTTCAGACTGTTCGAAGTAGGCTGGGTGAGGCAGGCATTGTGGTACACGATGTCCGTTTGAATGGCTCTGCAGCTGGTCATGTCCTGGTCAAGGATAATGGGCTGGGATGCAAGGACCTGGATCTCATTTTTCAAGTTTCTCTTCCAACTGAGGCAGAGTTTCAGTTAGTTCGAGATGTGGTGTTGCGATCTCTCTTGAATTTCTTACCAGAAGGAGTAAGCAAGCTAAAAATCAGTCCAGTGACACTGAAGGAAGCGTACATCCAGAAGCTAGTGAAAGTGTGCACAGAGTCTGACCGCTGGAGCTTGATATCACTTTCTAACAAGCATGGTAGAAATGTGGAACTGAAGTTTGTAGACTGTATAAGAAGGCAGTTTGAGTTCAGTGTGGACTCCTTCCAGATAATACTAGATTCCCTGCTGTTCTACTATGACTGCTCAGAAAACCCCATGTCAGAGCATTTCCATCCAACTGTTATTGGGGAGAGTATGTATGGAGACTTTGAAGCAGCTTTTGATCACCTCCGGAACAAGCTGATAGCTACCAAAAATCCTGAAGAGATCAGAGGTGGTGGGCTTCTAAAGTATAGTAATCTCTTGGTACGAGACTTCAGGCCCATGGATAAAGATGAGATCAAAACATTAGAGCGCTACATGTGCTCCCGGTTCTTCATTGACTTCCCAGATATTCTGGATCAGCAACGCAAGCTAGAGACCTACCTCCAGAACCACTTCTCCAAAGAAGAGAGGAGCAAATATGACTACCTCATGATTCTGCGCAGGGTGGTGAATGAGAGCACAGTGTGTCTCATGGGACATGAGCGAAGGCAGACTCTCAACTTGATTTCTCTGCTGGCACTCAAAGTACTGGCAGAACAAAACATCATCCCCAATGCTACTAATGTCACCTGCTATTACCAGCCAGCACCTTATGTTAGTGATGTAAACTTCAGCAACTACTATCTTGCAAATGTTCCTGTTCCATATAGCCAGTCCTACCCTACTTGGTTGCCTTGCAACTGAGCATCTCCTTTTCCAGTTCTTGAATGGAAGTTACTAGAAGTAAAGATGATGAATGTACATAGACAAATAATAACTGCTAGTGGGGGGGTGTTCTAATGGAAATATAGAAGTTGCTTTGGACTGAATTTCCTGGTATGTAGTAGGACTATGCAACCAGGTAACCTGGTAAGAGCCTTTCAGTATGCTTCTGCAAATGCCAAGAAACCTTCTTGCCTCTTCATTGAGAAAAGAGAACCAGCAGTTGAATGTTAGAGGAGCAGTTATAAAACTTGGTACTGATCCTGGAAACAGCTATAAAATGATCAGCACGTGAACGATGTTAGTTAACAGGAGATAAATTAAAATGCCTTGTGCAGAAAAGATGACTATCTTGGAATAGTTAAAATAAAAAACCTCTGCTCTGTTACTCAATCTCTATTTTTATAACTTCTCAGTTTAAGTTGTCCAACTTGCTGTTGAAAAAATCATGTAAAAAATCACGTAAAATCATGTGGGCCAGCCTGACATACCTGGGTTGTTTGTGGTGTTTTTTCTTCTGGTTGTATAGTGCTAGTACCTGTATGCATGCTGCCTGTCTTTTTTTTTTTTTTTGAGGGTCTCAAGATTGTTTCCTGTAGTGCATGGGGATATACGGAGCAGCCTCAAGTTCAAGATTATTTTCTTGGAAGTTGAAGATGTAAAGCACAAGCTGACTTAAAGTAACTTAAGGTTTTGGGTACAAAAGCTTCTCAAAACATGCACCACTGCATGATCTACAATATTCACTCATCGGCAAATCCTTGAAACAAAGAGTTGAAGCCTTAAATAAAATTGGAAGCACTGTTTGAATGGTTGAGGTGGAAAATAATATTACAGACAGGTTCAAGATAAGGCCTTTGGCTGCTTTTTAAAACTACTGGCACAGTTGGAACATAGTTCGTCTCTTACACTGAAGCTGAACTTTCATTCTCACAGGTTCACATCAAGCAAAAAGAAACCACTGTTAGTTGTAGGATAATGTGCACTCCTGCCATGCTATAAGCTTCCAAAAGTGCCTTCTAGAGTGAGTTTATTCTCGTACAACTTCAGGCAGGTCCTGAAGGCTTGCCTCTCTGCCACTTAAAGGTTAAGCTTACTGGTTTATCACTATCAGTTGGTTTCTGTATGAAAAGTTTTTTTGAGGCTAAAATCAATTTTTTTCTCAGGTGATCTTAACCCTCACCTGAAAAAAGTTTAAAACCCTAAGTGGGGCTCTACACATGCAGTATGTGACAAAAGTCTACTCCTATTTTTCAGAAGAGCCTCTGAAAGTGGGTGTGTTTTGAAGTATTGATAGCTTACATCAAAAGATAGATGCCAAGCTTTCTACTTTGAAATTTGTGCAATGTAAGGATGGTCAAAATTTTCCCACTTCTGTATATAGCTATAATAGAAACTGGGTGGCATGTTGATAGAAATTATTTCATTGTCTTGCAATAGTAAAATACAAGTGACTGAGTTTCCTTTGCTTAGCCAGAGAAATAGAGCAGAAGAGCAGATTTTTAGAGCTACTTAATATGTGCTGGTATAGTACTTAACAGTATAGATTTGCTAATCCCTTTTTATGACTTGGCTTTTAGCTGTCTTTGTTAGCTTGTGAAGCTAAAGTGCTGGGAGAAATAAAAGATTTAAACTTAAAGGTAAGGCAGAAAGTGAAACCCAATTTATAGTTGCTATTGGAACTGGAAAGTAGTAGGTTGCCAGTACAGCAACCTGGCAAGGTTGAATGAGCACCTGTTTCAGGTAGGACCAAATATTTCTGGTAGGTTGTGAACACTTTCACTGTTCATAACTAATCTCTAAAGTCTGCTTCAATAGAACAGTGAAGCTACTAGTTTGTTCAAATGCCATTTAGGCTAGAAAAGCAAGAGTATAACCTAGAAAAATGTAACCAACTATGCTTCAGGGAACTTTCTGAACAGTTTTGTAAGTAGCTACAGTAGTGTATAGGAAAAGAACTTGATGCCTTCTGACTTTTGTGAAAGACTTCCTGTAGTCAGTGATGCCTAAATACTTAAATTTGAAAGTAAACAAAGTCCCTTTAATGCTGTCTTAGACTTGATATAAGCTGTAGACAAGGTACTTTCATCTGAGAGTGATTCTTTGGAAGTCTTTCTTTCTTTTCAAAGCTGGCCTGCTGCCGGTGTTGTCAGTGTGTGTCAAAGTTGGTGCAGCCCTATCGCCTAGATATAAACCTATACAGGAATAGTTGCAGGTGATACTTCGTTTAGTATAGAGTATCCTTAGAAAGGAAAGTGTTCATTGGTCTAAGATTTTTTGTAATGATGACTTCCTAAATAGGTATTTTCAGGGCTGACCGAAGCTATACCCTTTATAGATATAAGCTGCTACTTAGAGGAACATGTTTGATTAGTATCAAATGGCTCAAATATGCAGCTGTTTTGTGGGGTCTCATGGCTGATCATTAGAAAGTGGTTCTATGTATCAGCTCATGTGGAAGAAGTGATCAGCTGCTTAAGAATTCCTCCTAAGCTTAAAACAAGCTATTTTTTTTGCTCACCTTGTATGCCTTGCCTGCTGAACATCAAGTCAAATGCATGTGTTGGAAAAGGAAGTGCTTAGGCTCTCAGATTCCTGCTGAGATAGCTTGAATTCTCCACAGTGCTTTCTTCAACAGCTAATACAATAGCTTCTGCTCCTGTTATTAATTTGTTGCTGAGGATTCCATGGAAACTTTGTTGAATGGTTACTTTCTCTGGACAGCTGACTTACTGAGCTCTAAAGTTTGAGGACTGCTTTATTCCCTGTCCTTTGCTTAAGTTACTCCAGTGTAGAATTATTGAAGGTTTTTAGTCTGGATGCTAAATATTAAAGTCTTGGATGGTTAAACTTTAGCTTGAAGTTACATATTACCTATTGTCTTGGCACTGGCCCAGGAGGGATTGCTGGTACAACGTTCTGTATCACTGCCTTCAGAACAATTCTGGCCTAGCAGTTTAGTTAGGGCTGTCATACTAAGTGACTTTGTGTCCCTCTGCTGCCAACAGTTTGTCCTTTGTTTTAAGCTGTCTTGGCAATACGATGTTGCAAGTGTCAGTGGCTTATCTAATGTGTGCTAGCTGGTTTGAGCTTACGGTGACCCCTTTAGCAGGGAGCAACATTGAAGTACCAAGGCAGGTTAGAGCAATGACCCTGGCCAAAATGTAGACTGCTTACTTGATTCTATCTCCCTTTACTGCTTAAGGATGTCCCTGCAAACCTGCTCTATGCTGTTGTACATTTCAGTATCAAGTGGAGGTTAAAGAGACTGTTAGGCTTCTGACTATCCTAATACATTCTAACTGAGCAGTGGTAGTAAAATCAATACTTGAGTGTGAGTTTTGTATTGGTTTATTTCTTCTTAGGGCTAGGCTTCTAGTTAAGTAGACTGCATAGTTTAAAATAAAATAGTCCTGTAAGTTCTATTGGTTTAAGTTGGTCTGAGGTTAAGCAGGTGTTGTCAATATTTATTCTGAACTCCCCCTTTCAATTTATAATTTGAGATGATCTACCCACTAGAAGTGAAAATTTATTCCTCGAAGGTGCTTCTAAGGAGGCTAGTAATAAACTAGACTTATAGTCACTTGATTGAAATCCCTATGCTGATCTATGAGTATCTGAAAAGCTGTATAGTAAAGCATGTTTAGCTCAACTTGTGTTATTGCTTTTGTTCTCAGGTTGTTCAGTCTTGAAGCTAAGCATTTGGTATATCTTGTACCTAGGCTTCATGGATTTCTGCTGATCACTAGAGTACCTACTTATGTTGTTTGTTATCTCTGCTTATGAATGTATATTATGAGTGCTTGGAAAAAGTTATCAGAGCACTTGGACACATTGCTTCAATTCAATTGTCTGTATTGAGAGTTCTTATTGAATATTATTCTTGCTAAATAACTCACAATCAGGGTGTCGTAATTCTGGGGTAGAGAATAAGCAATAAATTGGCAGTCATCACTGGCAAATCAGTCTGATCTGGGCATCAGGAGAACCAAATGGCTAGTAACATTTTCTGCTTTTGGCATCTAAGTCTTACTCAACCAACACTGATTAAACAGTGAAGTATATATATTTAGTGTGCTCTTTAATTTGAATAACACAAGTTAAAGGAAGGAGGCTGGGTTATAGAGGCTTTGGTGGTGGGAACAAGGATTGCAATACTTCACTTTTGATGGAAGAGGAAAAAAAACTCAAATGTCTAGTTTGGGCTTGTCTTTCTGATTAAAGCTGTACTTTGTGTTGAAGTTTAGAAGTACTTTTTACATTTACTTTTTTTAACAGTTAAAATAGCTACTTGGAAAAAATCTATCTTGTACTTCTGGAAAAAATGTTTTTTTTTTTTTTTGAAGCTGGCAGAACAACTAGCTAAAAGTATTTGAATTTGCAGTAAGCCCAAATGTGAGATTGGTCACAATATCTTTACTACTACTTTGCCACTGTAGTGTTCACCTGTCATTCTTGGAAACTGGGTTTTGGACCTTAATTCTGAAATTCTTGTACAAATAAAGTTATGCTGAACACTACTTGCCTCAGTTTTTTTGGACTGAAATAGAGGTGACTAGGAATATCTGGAGCTTATTGAGCAGGGTGTGTAAATACACTAGAAAAGATGACATTGTTTGGTACTTCTGGGATGAACAGTAGTGTTTGGCTGTGGATATTACTCAGATTCTTTTCCTCAAATGTACCCATTTGCTGCTTTACTGACAAAGATAGTCAGGGGAGCCAGGGGAGATGTGTTCCTTATTTAACCTAAATTATATCTGTCTTTAAATTATAGTAACAATTTCTAGAGAAAGATTTGCCCTCTGACTAGCTGACTTTAAAACAGATGGAGACACATTCCTAGGCCTGTTAGACCTAAGTGTCTTAGGTGAGCTAGAGACTCCCAGAAAGCTCTGTAATGACTTTCAGATTATGCTACTGTCAGTCAGTGGCTATAGAGGCCGATGTGTACCGCAAGTCATGCCCTAGGCTGGTGAGAAACTGGAAGTTGGACACCGTTCTTTAAGCTACTTATAAGTTGAAGTTTGCTGGCGTTTTGTGTTGCAAAAGCTGGTGCTTCAAAAATGGCTGCTGAGATGTATTTGGAGGCGGGGGGGAAGGCAGGTAAGCAGGTAAAAGCTAAATAAAAAGCTAGGGATATGTGGAGGGGTCTCTTTGCTGCTCTTCGTGCTGTAACATCAGTAAATAAACTACAAAAGTATGCATGCTTCTGATCCTTTCCACATCTCAGAGAAAAAAATCTCTATACTCCTAAGTAAGACTAGAGGAAAATCCAGTCTTCAGGCCCTTGTATTACTTGCAGTGAAAGCTGCTGCAGAGATTCATAGAGGTAGGGTGATATCATGGAGGTGGATGATGAGGCTTGCAGTGCCTTTTCACAATGTAATTGCTTCTTTCAGACCTCAGTGA